AAAATGCCCTGGGTTCAATCTCCAACCCACATACACATGCACACACACAAGGCCTAATGATGATAAATAACCAAAATAGAAATAATGCATTCCATTTTTTCAAAGAGATTACATCTCTTTGAGCCCAAGGCCTGCTTGTATATTGCTGTTTGCAATATAAATACATATATGTATACTGGGCCCTTAAAAAAAAATGTCATTGTTAGTTAAGCGCCAGTGGCTCACGCCTGTAATCCTAGCTACTCAGGAGGCTGAGATCTGAGGATTGCGGTTCAAAGCCAGCCTGGGCAGGAAACTGTCCATGAGACTGTTATCTCCAATAAACCACCAGAAAACTGGAAGTGGTGCTATGGCTCAAGTGGTAGAGTACGCGCCTTGAGATAAAGAGTACAGGGACAGCGCCCAGACCCAGAGTTCAAGCCCCATGACGGGCAAAAAAAGAAGTCATTGTTACTGTAGTATATCTGAGTTTTGTTTTCATCACTCATGATTAATAACCAATTGTGATCCTCAAAAACCAGATGTGCACTTTAAAAAGCAACACGGAGAATTCAAAACAACTTCTGTATGTTTTTGTAATGCTGATTTGGACCTTGTGTGGTTTGGGTTGATTTGCCTTTTTTGTTGTTGTTGTTGTTGGTCATGGGGCCTGAATTCTGGGCCTGGGCACTATCTCTCAGCTCTTCAGCTCAAGGATAGTGCTCTACCACTTGAGCCACAACGCCATTTCCAGATTTTTCTGCTTATGTGGTGCTGAGGAATCAAACCCAGGGCCTCATGCATGCAAGGCAAGCACTCTACCACTGAGCCACCTTCCCAGCCCTGATTTCCCTTTTTTTTTGGTCAGTTGTGGGGCTTGAACTCTGGGCTTGGGCGCTGTCCCTGTGCTCTTCAGCTCAAGGCGAGCGTTCTACCGCTTGTGTCACAGAGCCACTTCTGGTTTTCTAATGGTTTACTGGAGATAAGAGTCTCATGGACTTTCCTGCCCAGGCTGCCTTTGAACCATGATCCTCAGATCTCAGCCTCCTGAGTAGCTAGGATTACAGGGGTGAGCCACCTACACCCAGCTGATTTCCCCTTATTATGGCTTCTGCCTGAGATGGTGGCTTATAAGCAATCTTATTTGAGGCATAGCTGTCCCTTCTCACAGTGCATCCAAACTAAACTGATGGAACAAGCAACTTAACTCTTCAGGATACTGACCTTGGTTCAGAGAAGTCTGCCACTCACTGAGTAGCCTTGGATGATCCACCAAGGTACCCTGGATCTCCGGGTCACGTGGGGGTAAATGGAGCTTTTGAAACAAGTGCAGAGCATGCATGTGAGCAATGATGAACAGCTCCACTGGATGGTGCTCAACAGAATTAGCTTGAATAAAAAATTCCTATGGGTCTTGAAGACATGGTAGAGGTGGTAGAGCACCATGCAATGAGTAAAATGTCAGATGCTCAGTTTGTTTGTGTGTGTGTGTGTGTGTGTGTGCGCGCGAGAGCAAATGCACATGTGTATAGTGGGGCATGAACTCAGGACCTTGTTCTCTTCATTGGCTTTCTTGCTCAAGTCTGGTGTTGTACAACCTGAGACACACCACTTCTGGCTTTTTACTGGTTATTTGAAGATAAGAGAGTCTCCCAGATTTATCTGCTCTGATTCACTTGGAACCCTCTCAGCTCTCAGGTTCATGAATAGCTAGCCAGCACCTAGACTGATGCTTAGTGTGCAAGAGTATTTTCATTGTATTTCACAGACTGCTACATGATTGGTAATATTCAGTTTTCTGTTAAGATGCATTCAATATATGTTGAGTAAGCAAAAAATTAAGGGAATGAAGAAATGAATTAATGATGACTTAAGCCTATTTGTTATCTAAACTAGCAAGACTAAGAAGTAATTTGCAAAGGATTTCCATGCCAAAGGAGGAGTTTTATCAGCTCAGTATGTAATCTTTGTCCCAGTAACTGAGTTTAGGGATAGAGGAAAAAGGAACAAAAAATTTACTTTGTGGTCTGGCAAGTGACTAACTCTGACCCAGATTCTATCATGTTAGCACACAGAAGGAGCTCCATTAACAGTTCGGTGAATGAACACATTAAAGAAGTTATTAAACTGATGATGGTTATAGAATGGCCTATCAAGGGAGGATCAGAGCAGGGCACCTGCTGTCATCAAAAGGAGCCAGGATGCACACTGGCCTCAAAAAATCTCCCTGCCCTTACCTCCTTGTAAGCCTCCTACATTTCCTTTTAAGAAAGATGTGATAAGCTGGCACCAGTGGCTCACACCTCTAATCCTAGCTACTCAGGAGGCTGAGATTGAGGGTTGTGGTTTGAAGCCAGCCCGGGCAGAAAAGTTCATGAGACTCCAGTAAACCATTCAAAAACTGTAAGTGGTGCTCTGGCTCAAGTGGTAGAGTGCTAGCCTTGAGCAAAAGAGCTCAGGGACAGTGCTCAGACCCTGAGTTCAAACCCTATGACTAACATCTTTTTTTTCCTTCCTTTCTTTCCCTCCCTCCCTCCCTTCCTCCTTTTTTCCTTCTTTTCTTCCTTCCTTCCTCTCTCCCCTTTTTTTCTTTTTCCTTTTCTTTGTTTTTTTTTGGTCCAGTCGTGGGGCCTGAACTCTGGGCCTGGGCACTGTCCCTCAGCTCTTCAGCTCAAGGCTAGTGCTCTACCACTTGAGCCACAGCACCACTTCTGGCTTTTTTCTTTTTGCTTATGTGGTGCTGAGGAATCGAACCCAGGGCCTCATGCATGCAAGGCAAGCACTCTCCCACTAAGCCACCTTCCCAGTCCCCTCCCCCCTTTTTTTTTTCTTAGTAAGGGTAATGTTACTATAGAGACCAGGCTAGCCTAGAACTAAGATCCTCCAGACCTCTGAGTGCTGGGATTACAGGAGTGCACCACCAAGCCTAGTGAAATATTAAGCAGCGATCATTTCAACTCAAGCTTAAAATGCTAAACTCACCATGATCTAAATAAAGCCCCACAAACCCCCATGTGAACACACTGATCAAACCTTTCCTCACCTCTACTTGGTTATTGATTCTTTGCCTCTCATGCACTACACATAACCCTCTAGCAAGTCCTGTGGTTTTGCTCCCAAATATATCCTGCACATATCCATCTCCATCCCTACCCCACTACCCTGCTCTCCCGAAGTCTTTCACTTGGACTAATCTTTTTTTTTTTTTTTTGCCAGTCTGGGGTTTGAACTCCCTGAGCACTGTCTTTGAGCTTCTTTTTTTGTTCAAGGCTAGCACTCTACCACTTGAGCCATGGCACCACTTCCAGATTTTTCTGTGTATGTGATACTGAGGAATTGAACCCAGGGTTTCATGCATGTTAGGCAAGCGCTCTACCACCAAGCCACATTCCTTGAATTAATAATAAAAACTAGTTTCTCTCTTTCTGCTTCTCTTCTGCTCTTCCACTCTTCCATCTTGTCTCCCCATAGAAACCATTAACCATTCTCCCCTTAAAAACTCCACATTCACATCATGCCAGTAGAAGTCTTTAGCATTACCTACAAGGTTATCTTGACTTTCTATGCCTGGATCATCCCATCCCTTAATCTTCTTCAGCCTTACCTCCTATTCTTTATTTGAAGTGTTGGGGTTTGACCTCTGGACTTTAAGGCTTGCTAGGCACCCACCTGGCTTTACTACTTGAGCCACCTCCCTAGCCCTTTTTAATTTTTTCAGTTAGCACCAATTTGCCTGGGGCCAGCCTCAGAGATCCTCCTACTTAGGCCTCCTTTGTAGCCAGGATCACAGGTATCTATCACTATACCCAGATAGCTGGTGGAGATGGGTCTTGCTAACTTTTTGCCAAGTATGGCTTTGAACCTTGATCCTCCTGATATCCACTTTCTGGGCAGCTAGGATTACAGGTGTGAGCCACTAGGCTCAGCCAAGCTAATACTTTTTTTTGTTTTTGTTTTTTGTACTGGGCTTGAACTATGACCTGGGCACTGTCCTTTTCACTTCTGGCTTTTTGGTGGCTAATTGGAAATAAGAATCTCACTGACTTTCCTGGCTGTGATACTCAGCCACTGAGTAACCAGGATTACAGGGATGAGCAACCAGTGCCTAGTTCTTTTAAAAAATTTTTTCCCTGGTTTCTGGGACTTGAATTCAGTGCTTCTAACTCTTACTCAGCGTGTTAACTTACAGCTGGCACGCTACCACTGGCTTATTGCTGATTAGCTAGGGGTGCGGTGTTAAGGACTTGTCTGCCTTTGTTAGTTTTAATACGTGATCTTCCAGGTCTTAGTCTCCCGAGTAGCTAGGATTACTGGTATAAACCAGTGAGCTTAGCCAAGTTAATACCTTTGAAGTTATCAAGAAGACCAATTTTTACAAAGCAAAAGAAAAATCAAGTTTTTCTTAGTTGAAATAAGTCAGTTTATTATATTTCCAAGGCCTTTACCCTATAGTTAATATAAACCATTTTACAACACTTTACAACAATATAACTTAGTTTTTAGTATTTTGAAAAGGGAAAGATTTCTTTGGACTTTAGTAAATATTTTAGAAAGAATAACTATAGGAAGTTATTATTTCAAATTTAGTACAGTAACAGGTTTGTCTACCAGGTATATCACCCAGTATTTTTTCTTGTGAGAAATCTAGCAAATATCAACCACCAAATAATCTATATTTAGAAATAGAGGCAAGAAATATTTATCTATATCTACATATGTATTATTATATGTATGTATATAACAATACGTGTATAACATACATGTTATTATTTTTTTTCTATTTGAGACAGATCTCAATATGTAGCTCAGGTTGGCTTTGAACTCACTATATAGCCAGGCTGGTCTCAAACTCTAGATCTCCCTGCCTCTGCCCCCCAAGATCCGAGATTACAGGCATGCAATACCATGCCTAGCACAGGGGATGCTTCTATTTAAATAGGAAACAAGCAATATAAAGTGCAAATCACATGTCACTTGAACAAGACAATTTACATAATCAGGTATAAATTATTAACTTTCTATTGCTGAGGTGGTCTGGCTGTACCCCACATTACACTGTACTCATCTGGCCCTGAGGGGAAGTGTCACAATGGAATTGGGTCTGCCTGAATACAGGAGGAAAATAAATCACCAGTAGAGAATATTTCCTATCTTAAAAATAAAAATTAAGTCAGGGCCATCTTGGTTCTGAATCTCTCCATTTTTGTTGGGAGAAGACTGACCATCTCTTTACTAAGTTCCAGCTCAACTTCAATTTCCTGGGCCGCCTCAGGGTGCTTTTCACAGTAATCGACAATAAATTTGTAATGCTCCAATGATGTTGCCAAATTCTCTAGCTCTTTCTTGGGATCAGCAGTGATGATTTTGCCATAGAGACGAGCAACGCGGAACTTAGCGAGCATGGCGGGGCGAAGAACATCCTCCCCTAGATGCTCAGGAAATACTTTATTTGGGTCCCTCAGGGAGTCTAAGAAGAGCTGGTAGTACTTCAGCGCTGACTTATTAAGGTTATTTATTTTTTTTACAATGTGTGAATCAGGATCCCTCAGCTTGTCAGCAATGGCAACCTTCAAATCCATCATATCATAATAAGCATGTGCAATCTCAAACTGAATCTGCCTGTTGATCAATAGGTAATACTGTGGATTCAGGTCCACCGTGAGGGGCTCTAACATAGCTATTCTGCGTTTATGCATCTTGCACCGTCTCTCCATGTCAGTTTCAAAGAAGGCCAGGACCTTGAACAGAGCGCTGTGGTCTTGGACAACTTCAATATGGTCAGTGACATACCCATCAATTTGGAAGAACTCTTTTGCCTCAGAGACATAGTGCTGACCGAGTAAGAAAAGTTCTCTGGCTTCTTCAAAGTCTAAAGGTCTCAAATATCTCACTTTCTCCTCCACTGCAGAGATGGCATCACACAGCTCCCCTGTTCCAAACTGCACAGCTTTCTTCCTGATGCTCTCTTCCTCATCTAGTTCCTTTTTCCGTAAAGCACGAAGTTCAGATTGTTTGTCAAAATCCAGCTCGCCTATGTTGTCCTGAAAGAGGTAAGTTATGGTTAAGTAGGATATTTATTTCCTGCTGTCCAATAAAATTTAAAAAACAAAGCTAGATATAAAGAAAACTCGGGGCTGGGAAGGTGGCTCAGTGGTAGAGCGCTTGCCTTGCATGCATGAGGCCCTGGGTTCGATTCCTCAGTACCATATAAGCAAAAAGAAAAAAGCCGGAAGTGGTGCTGTGGCTCAAGTGGTAGAACACTAGCCTCGAGCTGAAGAGCTGAGGGACAGCGCCCAGGCCCAGAGTTCAGGCCCCACAACCGGACTCCCCCCCCCCCCCCCCAAAAAAAATAAAGAGCTGAAGGACAACACCCAGGCCCAGAGTTCAGGCCCCACGACTGATAATAAAATAAAAAAAGAAAACTCTTTCTTCCCAGCCTAGCTGAGGGGGAAATTATATTTTGTTTTGGCGTTAGGGGTGGAACCACGGGACTTCAGCAAGTTAGGCAAATGTTCCACCACTGAGCTGTATTACCAGCCCACAGATGGCACTATAGTCTTCAATTTTATGTTTTTGAGACAATCTTACCATGTAGTTTAAGAATACCTTGAACTCGCAATCATCCTGTCTCAGGCTTTTGGAGTTCTGGGACTAAACGCATGCACACCAGCCTCACATTAAACTTTTTTTAAACTTCTTTCTTTCTTCCAATTATATGTATTAGAAATCAAAAAATAAGACTGGGAATGTGGCTTAATGGTTGAATGCTTGCCTAGCATGCACAAAGCCCTGGATTGGATTCCTTACTACCATATATACAGAAGCCAGAGTTGGCACTGTGGCTCAAGAGGTAGAGTGCTAGCCTTGAGCAAAAGAAGCTCAGGGACAGTGCCCAGGCCCTGAGTTCAAGCCCCAGGAAGGATTGGCAAAAAAATAAAATAAAATAAATAAATAAAATCAAGAAATAGCTGGATAGCTGGGCGCCGGTGGCTCATGCCTGTAATCCTAGCTACTCAGGAGGCTGAGATCTGAGGATCGCGGTTCAAAGCCAGCCTAGGTAGGAAGGTCCGTGAGACTCTTAGCTCCAATAAACCACTAGAAAACTGGAAGTGGCGCTGTGGCTCAAGTGGTAGAGTGCTCATCTTGAGCTGAAGAGCACAGGACAGTGCTCAAGCCCAGAGTTCAAGCCCTACGATCGACCAAAAAAAAAAGAAAGAAAAAAGAAAAAAGAAATAGCTGGCACCAGAGGCTCACATCTATAATCCTAGCTACTCAAGAGGTTAAGATGTGAGGATCACAGTTCAAAGCCAGCCCAAGCAGGAAGTCCATGAGACTCTTCTCTCCAATTAAACACAGAAGAAGATGGAAGCAGAGCTGTGGCACAAGTGGTAGAGCGCTAGCTGTCAGGAAAAGGAGCTCGAGGACAGTGCCCAGACCCTGAGTTTAAGCCCCAGAAGTGGGGAAAAAAAAAAATCAAGAAATGTGAAAAAGTATTTATTTACTTATTATTTTATTTTTTTTGTCGGTCATGGGCCTAAACTCTGGGACTGGGCGCTGTCCCTTAGCTCTTTAGCTCAAGGCTAGCACTCTACACTTGAGTCACAGCACCACACTGGCCTTTTCTGCTTATGTGGTGCTGAGGAATCGAACCCAGGGCCTCATTCATGCAAGGCAAGCACTCTACCACTAAGCCACCTTCCTAGCCCCTGAAAATGTATTTAAATACAGAAAACAGAAAAACCACTGTATAATGCCTTTTTTGATGTACTCAAACTCTTCTCTTTTCATCATGGGTCTTGAACTCAGGGTCTGGGCACTGTTCTTGAGCTCTTTTGCTCAAAGCTAGCTCTCTACCACTTTCAACTATAGCTCCACTTGTTTTTTGGGTTTTTTTTTGTCAGTCATGGGGCTTGAACTCTGGGCCTGGGCACTGTCCCTGTGCTCTTCAGTTCAAGGCGAGCGCTCTACCGCTTGAGCCACAGCACCACTTCCAGTTTTCTAGTGGTTAATTGGAGATAAGAGTCTCACGGACTTTTCTGCCCAGGCTGGCTTTGAACCATGATCCTCAGATCTCAGCCTCTTCAGTAGCTAAGAGTACAGGTGTGAGCCACTGGTGCCCGGCCCACTTCTAGTTTTTTTTATGATTAATTGGAGAGAAGAATCTCATGGAGTTTCCTGCCCAGGTTGGCTCCTGAGTAGCTAAAATTCAGGAATGAGCTACCAGTATCCAGCCATGACTACTCCTTTAAATAGGATGAATGCTACCTAAGTATTTCTAAAATTGTGAAATCCTATATACATGTGATATATTAGTAATAGTTATATTTTAGCATTATAGTGACTTCTAAAAACATTTCACAGGGATGTTAAGATTTTTGAAATGTTATTATAGAAAATGTTCTAGGTGTTCTAAAGACACTAAAAATGAAGACAATTAGATCTCCTTTCACATCTAAAGTGACCTTCCTCACTTGGTTCTTGACCAGAGGCTGAGGCCTGCCTAGCATGCGTGACGTTCAATACCCAGCATGCAAGGGGAAAAAAAGAGTAAACTCTTTTTCACCAGCAAATTTATACATTAGAACCTTCAGTGTCCAGCCTAAGGCTTTTCTTTCCTCTTCTCTTTTCACTCAATATTGCCTCCCAACTGATGACTCTAAACGTCTCCCAATGTTCTTCAACCCCAACTCTATCCTTTATCACAGGTGCTCCTGCCCTGCCTCAGCCTCACTGGCCTTTCACAGTCCTCTGACGCCACTCTCCTTCATGTCACACACTTCTAAGCATGCCGCTCCTTAAAATGGAGCAGCTTGCTTTCCCCAAGCCAAGTACCTCCTACTCATCCCTGGGAGCTGCTTCAAGTATCATCCCCCCTGCTGTCCCTTAAACCTCGGATAAAATAAAAATTTAAGTAAATACATTTACATATGTTTTAAAGAATAAACTGAAAAAAAGTTTTTCAGATAAATACACATATGGTCTAAGAATGAAGTTAAAAGAAAAAAAGAGCTGAGTGCTGGCGGCTCACACCTGAATTGCAGCCACAAAGAAGGCTGAGATCCAGAGGACTGTAGTTCAAAGCCAGCCTGGGGCCCGAGCAGAAAGTCTGTGAAACTCCCAATTCAAAAAAAACAAAAACAGGGCTGGGAAGCTGGCTCAGTGGTAGAGTGCTTGCCTTGCAGGCATGAGGCCCTGAGTTCGATTCCTCAGTACCACATAAGCAGAAAAAGCTGGAAGTGGCACTGTGGCTCAAATGGTAAGAGCTGAAGAGCTGAGGTACAGCGCCCAGGCCTAGAGTTCAGGCCCCACAATCAACACCAACACCACCAACAACAAGAAGAAAACAAAAACAAAACAAGAAAAAGCAGTGTTAGAGGTGTGGCTCAAGTGATAAGAGAGAGCAAGCCCCAGGACAGGTGTGTGGGTATGCGCACGCATGCACGCACGCGCACACACACAAAAGAATGAAAGAAAAAGAAAAAATATATAGTCCTTGAATGATGGATATGATTTTAGCAAAAACTGCAAGAGTTTCATGGTCTAAAGAGAAACCAGAGTATGATAAGTTACATTTTAAAAGGTGGTGATAGGCCAGGTACTGGTGGTTCACACCTGTAATCCTAACTATTCAGGAGGCTGAGATCTGAGGATTGCAGTTCAAAGCCAGCTCAGGAAGCTACTAGAAAACCGGAAGTGGTATTGTGGCTCAAGAGGTAGAACGCTAGCCTTGAACTTCATGAAGAGTTGAGGGACAGCGCCCAGCCCCAGAGTTCAAGCCTCACGACCAACAACAACAACAACAACAAAGTGGTGATGAGGGCAAGAAACAAATATTTGTGAGAGCATACTACATGTCTTCTTTTTTTTTTTTTTTTTTTTGTCGGTCGTGGGGCTTGAACTCTGGGCCTGGGCGCTGTCCCTCAGCTCTTCAGCTCAAGGCGAGCGCTCTACCACTTGAGCTACAGCACCACTTCCGGTTTTCTGGTGGTTTATTAGAGATAGGAGTCTCACGGTCTTTCCTGCCCGGGCTGGCTTTGAACCGCGATCCTCAGATCTCAGCCTCCTGAGTAGCTAGGATTACAGGCGTGAGCCACCAGCGCCCGGCTACTACATGTCTTCTATAATTAACTCACAATAAACTCAAAGAATCACAATCCCCATGGTAAGCTTTCATTTACGTCCTGCTCATGAAAGGAGAACAAGGTAACCTGGGCCTGCATTACCTGCATGGAAAGCTGGGCATTTTGCATGAGAGTCAAGCAGTACTTGATCCAGCATCTTGCTATCTCCCCTTTCCTCTGATGATACAGCTCTGGCACATCCCCTTCTGATTCAGGAGCTAAAAAACACATGACTGTGTAGTAAGCTCAAAGTTATAAGTGTGGTTTTTCAGTGTATACTGTATTCAATAGCACCTGGGGACACTGCTAGGTTATTTCTACAGATTGCTTTCTACATTTTTTCTTATGCTTTATTTGTATTAAAAATAATAAGGTCATAGTATGTAGCCAACTTTGAGCATAACTTTTCCTTCACACATTATACCATCAACCCTTAGAACATAACATTATCAACTCTTTAGCTTTTTTAGTATAGCATTATAAAATATCCATTAAATAAGTATTTCATACTTTAGCCCCTCTAATATAGGGAGTTCATTGTTTCTAGTTCCTTACTATTACCGACAACTTAAAACATGACAATCTTTGTGCCTAAACCTGTCTGGTTTTGAATTACAACCTTAGCACAGATTCCTATAAATGGAATTCCTAGGATGGTAAAAGAATTTACACAATTTTAAGTTTGTTTGTTTGTTTCTTTTCTTTTTTGCCAGTCCTAGGGCTTGAACTCAGGGCCTGGGCACTGTCCCTAAGCTTCTTTTGCTCAAGGCAGGCACTCTTACCACTTGAGCCACAGCACCACTTCTAGCTTTTTACTGTTTATGTGGTACAGAACTAAACCCAGGGCTTCATGCATGCTAGGCAAGCTCTCTACCACTAAGCCACATTCCCAGTCCCCAATTTTAAATTTCTTTCTTTTTTTTTTTTTTGGGTCCGGTCATGGGGCCTAAACTCTGGGCCTGGGCGCTGTCCCTCAGCTCTTCAGCTCAAGGCTAGCACTCAACCATTTGAGCCACAGCACCACTTCCGGCTTTTTTCTTATGTGGTGCTGAGGAATCAAACCCAGGGCCTCAGGCATGCAAGGCAAGCGCTCTACCACTGAGCCACCTTCCCAGCCCCAATTTTAAATTTCTTAACTAACTCTGCCCAACCATATTTAAGGTGTTTGTAGAAAGCATTCTGAAAACATTGTCACTTTTTCAGCTTTTTTCTTGCTCTTTGGTACTGAGGAATGCACCCAGAGCCCTGGCCATCTCAGCACAGATTCTTCCTGCATCCTCAGCCCCTACAACTTCTATCTTGAGAAGTAAGAACAAAATGGTGCTTTCACGGAGGCTTAGTTTATTTTTAGATAAATGTCTTTTGAGAATTCCAACTGACCTACAATTAATCCAAGACAGCAAATAAAGGAAACAAAACAATTATTCCATTTGATACTGCACGTTCTTCTAATTCTTCAGAGGCTCTGCCCTGTTCTCAATTAAAACATTTGTTTTCTTTTTGGGTGGTACTGGAGGAGTTTGAACTCAGGGCCTCCTGCCTGATAGACAGTCACTCTATCACTGGGCCATACTCCCACTACTAGTTCTTTTGGCTTTATTTTTCAGATAGGGTCTCAGGCTTTTTGTCCAGGGCTATCTGGAAGGTGATCCTCCTACTTATGTCTCCTGTGAAGCTGGGATTATAGGCCACTGCACCCAGCTCTAGAACATTCCATTTGTACAGAAACATGGTGTTTCAAAACCTAAAACCTTTTTAAGACTGCAGATTGCTCAATGATAAGTGACAAAATCATAGAATAAAAATGGCAAATTTACTGCTGAACTTGTTAAATGATTCAAATATACGTGTTAACCATGATTTTTTGCAGGCTAAACAAAACATGTTAAGTGCTGGGGATGTAGGCCCATCGTAGAGTATTTGCATAGTATACAAAAGGTCTTAGGTTCAATCCCAGCATTGCAAACAAAAAGTTAAAAAGTTAAAAGTTAAAAAAGACAGATGTGGGGCTGGGCAGGTGGATCAATGGTAGAGCGCTTATCTTGCATGCATGAGGCCCTGGGTTTGATTCCTCAGCACCACGTAAACAGAAAAAAGCCAGAAGTGGTGCTATAGCTCAAGTGGTAGAGCACTAGCCTTGAGCTGAAGAGCTGAGGGACAGAGCCCAGGCCCAGAATTCAGGCTCCATGACCAAAAAAAAAAAAAAGGACAGCTGTAAGGTCATACCACTTATATGTGTAATATTCTAAAACAAAATGTATCATCTCAATACTGGCTAAAGGAAATAGCATACAAACCCCAACTGATGAAATCCTATGAAATAACTGTATCCTCCTAAAACATTAAATGATGAAGGAGAAAGGCTGAGGACTGTACCATAGGACAGAAGAATAAGAAGGGGCTAAGAAGGGGTGACAAGAGATGGCAATCTTAAACTCTAATCCAGGACTGAAAAAAAAATTGTTATAAAGGACATTATAGAGACAATTGTTTAAAGAAAAATAAGATTCTTAAAAATTTTATCAAGTGTTTCATTTCCTGAATATTCTAACTGTTCTATGATTATGCAAGAAGGTATTCTTGTTCTTGGGAAATGTATATGCAATCATTTCTTAAATGGCCGGGCACTGGTTGCTCATGCCTATAATCCTACCTACTCAGGAGGCTGAGATCCAGGGATCACAATTCAAAGCCAGTCTGGGCAGGAAAGTCTGTGAGACTCTTATCTCCAATTAACCATGAGAAAACTAGAAGTAGAGCTGTGGCTCAAACTGGCAGAACCCTAGTCTTGAGCAAAAGAGTGTTGGGACAGCACCCAGGTCCTGAGATCAAGCCCCACAACCAACAACAACAAAAAAAAGTGACATCTAAATATTACCTCAATATGTGGCTGAAATGAGGCAAGTATTAAAATTGGTGAATTTAAGTTAAGCCTGGTGGCACACATCTGTAGTTCTAGCTATTTAAAAGGCTGTGACAGAAGGGTCACAAGGAGTTTAAGGCCAGCTTGTGTTAGACAAGACCTTGTCCAAAAAAAGCAACAACAACAACAAAAATGGTAAATTTAGTTGGGGACTATGGTAGTTTCTTGTTCTACTTTCTTAAAATTTTAAATGTTAAATATTAAAAGATTAAACATCAGGGGCTGGGAAGGTGGCTTAGTGGTAGAGTGCTTACTTGCATGCATGAGGCCCTGGGTTTGATTCCTCAGCACCATATAAGCAGAAAAAGCTGGAAGTGGTGCTGTGGCTCAAATGGTAAGAGTGCTAGCCTTGAGCTGAAGAGCTGAGGGGCAGGCAGCGCTCAGGCCTGGAGTTCAGGCCCCACGATCAGGAAAAAAAAAAAAAGATTAAAATTCAAAATAAAAAAAATTAAAGCTTATAAAGTGACCTAGGTCTATAATCCCAGAACTTGGGAGGATGGATTACATAGCAAGACCCTATCTCAAAAAACAGCTATATGAAACATGCACATGTAAACTTACTGTCTTCTGTGGCTGGAATTTTCCCAATTTGACCAAAAATAACATTAGCAGCTGATAAACAGTGTCTGGCCTCCATAAAGCATAGCTGTTGGGAAAATAAATGAGAAAAAATCTAAGTATCATGAAGTCTTATTTACAACTTATATTTGCCTATTTATATGGGAAAAACTATACTATCAGGTGAGATCCACTATGAAGGAGGCACTGTACAGGTGCTAAGCAGCAGAAAGGTATGAAAGGCACATTACAGTACTATCTGATAAAAAGATACCTCAGAGATTAAAATAACAATACCCAAATGCTTAAAAATAACGAACGGGCACAAGGATAACTATGGACTGAAAGTCAGCTGTCCTCGCATAACCAGTACGTACATGAACAGCTCTTATCCCAAATTCAAACCACGTCAGTAACACTCAGTCTAAATAACCAAAGGTCCATCACAATAAATTTTTACATTCTGTCAGAGTAATGAAGATTTAATTTTTCTACCATTCAAAGGCAAAAAGAAGAGTCTTCACACATTAAATTAATATCTAGATGTTTTAACACTATAAACATTCATGGAGTTTTGTTTTTGTTGTTGTTTGTGTCTTGAACTCTGGGCCTGGATGCTGTCGCCGAGCTTTTTGGCTCAAGGCTAGGGTTCTCCCACTTGAGCCACATCTCCACTTGTAGCTTTTTTGCTGGTTAAATGGAGATAAGAATCTCATGAACTTTCCTGCCCAGCCTTGATTTGAATGGCAATCCTCAGATCTCAGCCTCTTGAGTAGTGAGAATTACAGGCCTGCCTGAGCCATGGGTGCCTGGCAAATGGAGTTATCAGTGTGAATTAAAATAATAATGAATATGTAATTTTAAAACTGCTAACCAAGTGTTCTACAAATAGCTGTAACAGAGAAGCTACAAGCAGAGGCAGGTTTTCTGAGGGCCACAGTAGAAAGGATTCATAGGAATTAGGCTTAATTGGATGCTCAATTTCTGAGGCTTACGAATAAGAAATATAAATGAAAAGCAATTTTTATTGGTGAGGTATCTTACTAAGAATGGAACATTTGGTTGGAAAAGGTAGCTTATAACTGGCTTAGCATTAGAAACTGAAGGACGACAGAACTAATGGATCTATACAAGCATAGCAAATTGATTCTAAGGAATTCTGATGAAACAACCAAGGAGCATAAATTTGTCCCTGTGTAACAGTTCAGAAGTAGTCATAAAAACCTGGAACTATGGAAATCAGCAGAGACATTTACAATATCCACACTCCTATAGAACAGTTCATTCTGAAAGATAACTGAAATGTATCACATGCTTTTACCAAAGCCCACACATTTAACAGTTGACTTCCTCAGATAAATTCTCATTGCAGATTACCATTACATAGATAAAATTCTATCTACCACAAGATAAAATCTGCAACAAAAGGTAACATATAACTACAGTAAATTTAAATAGTATGCTCATCATCAAAAAAGAACTGAAAGCCATGGATCATGCCTATAATCCTAGCTACTCAGGAGTCTGTGATCAGCCCAGGCAAGAAAGTCCATGAGACTCCTATCTCCAGTTAAGCACCAAAAAAGGCTATAAGTGGAACTATGGCTAGGCTCTGAGTTGAAGCCTCAGGACACGGACACACACACACACACACACACACACACACACACACACACACACACACACACACACACACACACACACACACACACACACACACACACACACACACACACACACACACACACACACACACACACACACACACACACTTAATATACTAGCAGGTAACAAATTGGGCTGCATTTTCCTGTGTAGTTTATGTCACAAAATACAAGCTACTTTTCTTTTTTTTTTTAATTGTTATTATAAAGGTAATGTACAGAGGGGTTAGAGTGAAATAGGTCAATTAAAGAGGACATTTGTTTTTGGACAATATCACGCCTTCCCTTACTTTCTCCCAATTTTTCCCTCCTATCCTTGCCCACAAGTTGTATAGTTCATTTTCAACATAGTGTTAAGTGAGTACCACTGCTGTATGCATTCACCATTTGTCCCTCCATTTCTGTGCCCCAACTTACCTTCCCAAAGACAGATAAGCAAACAAGACAAGAAAACAAAAATAATATAAATAAAACCTCGTTTCCATTTCCTGGAGTTTGTTCCAATAAATATGATTTTATATGATCGGAGGCATACAACCATTGTACCTTTGTATTAAGCCACTTGTTTTTCTTTTTCTGTTTGTTTTGTTTTTGTCTGTAATGGGGTCTGAACTCTGGGCCTGGGTGCTGTCCCTGAACTCCTCAGCTCAAGGCTAGCACTCTACCACTTGAGCCACAGTGCCACTCCTGGCTTTTTCTGCTTGTGTGGTGCTGAAGAATCGAACTCAGGGCTTCATGCATGCAAGGCAAGCAAGCACTCTACCACTGAGCCCCTTCCCAGTCCTTTGTTTTTCTTTTTATCTTTATTTTTTTGCCAGTCCTGGGACTTGAACTCAGGGCTTGAGTTTCTTTTTGCTTAAGGCTAGCACTCTACCACTTCAAGCCACAGTACCACTTCTGGCTTTTTCTGTTTATGTGCACGGGGGAATCAAACTTAGGGTTTCATGCATGCTAGGCAAGCACCCTAAAAGCCACATTCCCAGCCCAAGCCACTTGTTTTTAAAGGATGGTATTGTCAGGCTATAACTGGCTCCTTTTTAGGTAACTACTTACCTTATTGATATAAAACTGTGACAAGGTAGCAGCATTAATAGCCCACTCCATAGGATGATAGGCATTGTGCTCAAGCTGTCGCTTCAGTGTGCTGTGGCAATAGTGAGCAGCCTTCTCAAACATTTCCATATGCTGGTAGACTTGAGCCAGGTAATACAGGTTATGAGTATAAACCTTCTCAAATCTGTGAAGAAAAAGTATTGTACAATGGCTTGTTTTGTTGGTCTTAGGGCTTGAATTCAGGGGCTGGGTACTGTCCCTGAGCGCTGTTTGCTCAAGGCTAGTGCTCTACCACTTTGAGCCACAGTGCCACTTCCAGTTTTCTGGTGGTTAACTGGAGATAAGAGTCTCATGGGAGCCGGGCGCTAGTGGCTCACGCCTGTAATCCTAGCTACTCAGGAGGCTGAGATCTGAGGATCGCAGTTCAAAGCCAGCCCAGGCAGGAGAGACCGTGAGACTCCTATCTCCAATAAACCACCAGAAAACTGGAAGTGGCGCTGTAGCTCAAGTGGTAGAGCGCTCGCCTTGAGCTGAAGAGCTGAGGGACAGCGCCCAGGCCCAGAGTTCAAGCCCCATGACCGACCAAAAAAAAAAAAAAGAGTCTCATGGGCTTTCCTACCTGGGCTAGTTTTGAACCATGATCCTAGGATCCCAGCCTCCTGAGTAGCTAGGGTTGCAGGTGTGAGCAACCAGTGCCCAGTTTGTAAGTAAATTTCATACGTAATTTTCTTAATCCTCCCACCAATCCTTTGAGTTGTGTCTGGTACATGTAGTTTTATGACAGGAAACAGTCTCAAATCTGACCAAGGCCATGTAACTTGTAAGTGGCAAATGGAGTAGGGTTGGGGCATAGCTCAAATGGTAAAGTGCTTGCCAAGCAAGCCCAAGGTCCTGAGTTCAAACCTCGTACTACAGGGGTTGGAGGTAATCCACCGTTTCACTTGAATGACTTCTAAGCAGCAAATGTAAGGCTTTTTTGAACTATCATTTTGTGGTAACACATGTTGATTTCTATACCAACTAACCTTTTTGATCTCTCCTGTTCAGTGAGCTTCTCTTCTTCAGGAAGAAAGTGTTCTGTCGGATCAAAAGGAGGACTCCCAATCTATGATTAAATAATAAAAGCCCTTTAAAAATTTGAACTATGAACATCAAGCACCCTCTTCTGGGGAAAAGGAGAAATCAATTTCAAGTTGCTGGGTTTTTGTTTTCTCTCTCTCTTTTGGGGGGATATACGGAGAAAGGGTTTCACTACATAATTCATGCTAACTTTGAATGCTCTATCCTCCTTCCTGCCTCAGACTCTTGAGTTCTGGGATTAAAGGTGTGTATCTGGGAATATGACTGGGAATATGGCTTGATGGTAGAGAACTTGCCTAGCATGCATGAAGCACTGGGTTCGATTCCTCAGTATCACATAAACAGAAAAAGCTGTAAGTGGCACTATGGCTCAAGTGGTAGAGTGCTAGCCTTGATCAAGGAGAGTGCCCAGGCCCTGAGTTCAAGCCCCTGGACTGGCAAAACAAACAAACAAACAAATAATGGTGTGCATTACTTCTCCCAGTGAATGTGTGAACTGTTCTTAAACTATAATTTTCTAAGTATATAGCTATAATCCTAGCACTTGAGAAGCTTGAGGCAGGATGATCATGAGTTTGGGGTGGAGGATCAAAGTGTCTACATAGACTTTACCAAAAAAAAAATCTGCTGGGCACTGGTGGCTCATGCCTGTAATCCTAGTTACTCTGGAGGCTGAGATCTGAGAATTGAGGTTCAAAGCCAGCCTGGGCAGGAAAGTCTGTCAGGTTTTTTTGTTTTGTTTTTGTTTTTTTTTTGATCCAGTCGTGGGGCCTGAACTCTGGGCCTGGGCGCTGTCCCTCAGCTCTTCAGCTCAAGGCTAGTGCTCTACCACTTGAGCCACAGCGCCACTTCCGGCTTTTTTCTTTTTGCGTATGTGGTGCTAAGGAATCGAACCCAGGGCCTCATGCATGCAAGGCAAGCACTCTACCACTGAGCCACCTTCCCAGCCCTGTGAGATTCTTATCTCCAATTAACCACCAGAAAACCAGAAGTAGTGCTGTGGCTCACGTGGTATTGCATTAGCCTTGTGCTGAAGAGCTCAGGGACAGCTCCCATGCCCAGAGCTCAAGCCCCACAACTGACCAAAAAAAAGGGGGGGGAGGCATATAATCTTACTAATATTATGATGTCATCATTTTAGAAAATGTGAGATATGTTGTTTTGTAGCCACACATCCTGATGGTTACATTAGCAAACACATTTTTTTTGGTTTGTTTGTTTTTTTGGGTCCGGTCATGGGGCCTGAACGCTGTCCCTCAGCTCTTTAGCTCAAGGCTAGCACAAAAACAAAAACAAAACAAAACAAAAAGTTGCCTAATAATTCCTTTCATGTAAAATAAAGTTTATTAAGCCAGAGTTAGTGGCTTAATATGAGCACAATATCTGAACTCTTTGAGGCACACATTCCTCTTGCTTTCTTTTAGTACTATTTTTAGTGAAATTGAAGTAGAAATTTTGAACACAAATACAAAAATACACAAGTGGTATTTGAGGATAACATTAAACTATTTCCTTGGTGATTATATTCAACTGTAGGCTACCATTATTCCCTACCCAAGGCTTATTTTTAAAAACCAAAGTCTTCACTATACAGTAATTTCAGCTATAGAAATTCTTGGGTTCACATCATTGTGAGTGAAGAATTCTTCTTTCCGCTCTTGACTACTTGCAGCCCAAATTTAAATTTTAATCTGGCATACAACATACCTCTTTCATATATTGATTATACAGAGCTTCTGACGATTCTAGGTAAGCCCGTGCAGTTTCAATTTCTTCCCTTTCAGACCATAAGATGCCCAGGTTATTCTGCAAGGTAGAGAAACAGACAACTTAAGACTTAAAGTAATATCCACAAATTGTTTTAAGAAAGGGTGAGAGAAGTAAAGTGATACAGGAGGTGAAGTTGATGAGGTACATTCTATGATTATTTCACATGGAAATGTCACAATGAATTCTCACTCTTACATAACTAATGTATGTTAATAAACAAAAATTAAAGTAGCATTTATAATTTCAGAGGATTTATTTTGGTGGGGATGGGGTTTAGACTAAGAGCTTGGAGCTTGCTAGGCTGGTCCAATATCCCTGAGCCACACCTTTAGCCCTAACACCCAAAATTTTAATGTTACTACTTACTGACTAGTAATGGAATTTGGTTAGCAATATGTTACTCATAATACTGACACACTGTGATAGACAGCTGCTAAGATAGACATACAGTGACCCCTGCCTTCTGGTACTCCTTGCGCTAATCTCTTCAGCATGAGCACGAGCAAGTAGCGATTTGCTGCTAAAAACTGGAATACGGGAGAAGTGATGGAAAATCACACTAAGATTAGGCTACAAAATACTATGGCATGCACTTATTATTTTATATAATAAAACAGGTTTACATTCTAGAGTGTTTTTGAGACAAAATCTTGCTATGTTATCCAGATTGGCCTCGAACTAATGTCCCTCTTGAGTTTTGTAATTAACCAAAGTGTACCACCATAGCTAGCTTTGAGTGTTCTTAAAATTGTTATAAAATTGCTGGGCACCTCATGTCTATGAAATCTGAAATCTGAGGATTGGGGTTCCAAGCCAGTCAGAGCAAAGATCCTTTTTTTTTTTTTTTTTTCCCTTTCCATGTGGGGCTTGAGCTCTGAGCCTGGGCACTGTCCCTCAGCAATTCAGGTCAAGGCTAGTGCTCTGCCACTTGAGCTACAGTGCAGTTTCCAGTTTTCTGGTGGTTTATTGGAGATAAGAGATCTCAGACTTTCTTGCCTGGGCTGGCTTTGAACCACAATCCTCAGGTCTCAGCCTCTGAGTAACTAGGATTACAGGCATGAGCCACCAGCTCATGACTGTAAGGTTCTTATCTTCAATTAACCAACAAAAAGCGACAGGTGGATTGCTAGCCTTGAGCAAAAAGCACAAGGATCTGAGTTCAAGTCACATGACTGGTTAACACACACAAAAAATATCCCATTAGCTGGGTGCCAGTGGCTCATGCCGTAAACCTAGCTACTCAGGAGGCTGAGATCTGAGAACCGAGGTTCAAAGCCAGCCCAGGCAGGAATATTCCTCCAATTAACAACCAGAAAATAGGAAGTGGTGCTGTGGCTCAAGTGGTAGAGCACTTGCCTTAAGCTAAAGAGCTAAAGAGCACCCAGGCCCAGAGTTCAAGCCCCACGACCGACCAAAAGAATAAAAAATAAAAAATTCCATCAAAGTCATTGATTCTTCTTTCTTCATTTTTTTCCTTATTGAGCTCTTCTTTTTGGTTTCCATTGTACTTAACTTCCTTCTGCTACCACAGATAATGCCAAGTATATTGTTGACTGAAAAGATCAGAAGGAATACCAGAGAAATTATTCCTACGCCACCAGAACCTAGTGAAGGTTTAACAATCATCTATGATGATCCTGTAGTTCCCCCAAAGACAACAGATTGAGACGATGCACTTAAATATCATGAATTCCTATGACACCAAACATTTTACCCCAAAAGTAATCTTTCATAGATTATCAAGGGAGAGTTTGATATTTTACCATGAGAAGACATTACAAATGTCAGGTGGGGTGTCACGCCTGAAAACTCAGCATCTGGGAAGCAGAAGAACCAGGATCACAAGTTCAAGGGAGCCAGGGCTATGGAGTGAGACACTGTCACAAAATAAAAATAAGTCTCAACTAAAAGACACCATTATTGTACGAACAAGAAAACACTGCCAAGAAAACTCTAATACATAGCCGATCAATTCATAAGGTTCATCTCCATTTCAAAGATACTAAAATGTGAAAGATTGTAAATTTTTTGTTCTGCTCCCAGGGCTAAAGGTCTGGGCTTTGTCCCCGAACTTTTGCGGTCGAGCCTGGTGCTGAAATCCTCAGCTCTCACTCAGTCTGCTGAGTAGCTGGGATGACAGGCGTGAGCCTCCAGCGTGGGCCACGGGCCTGGAGGCCGCCGCCCCCGCCCCTCTCACCTGCGCCTGCACGTAGAGCGAGACGCAGCAGTGCGAGAGCCGGTACCGGCTCAGCAGCCTCAGGCTCTTCACCAGGTGCTCCTCCCCGGCCGACAGCTCCTCCGTGTCGATGTGGTTCACCCCGAGGTGGAACTCGAGAACCGCCAGCCGCACGGCCCGCTGAGCGGCGGGCCCCTCGGGCTCCACGGCCTCGGTGGGCGGCCCCAGGGCGTGGTCCCCCGCGCCCAAGCCCTCGTCGGCCGAAGGCCTCTCGTCCTCATCCTCCGGCGCGGGGCCGAGCAGCGCCTTGACCTCCTCCAGCAGCGCCCGGGCGCTGTATTTGGACTTGTACGGCTCCTTCTCCGGGTTTTTATGTAATTCCACCCGCGACAGGGCCAGGGCAGCCTGGAATTTCTCGCGGATCTCGGCCCAGGGAGCGGTAGCCATAGCGGCCTCCAAACTGGGCGGCCTCGAAGCTTGCCGTCGGCCCTCCCGCCTTCCTTCTGCTTCACGACATTTCACTTACGGCTGGAGGCAGGGCGAGAGCGCTGTGGAACGGCAACCAATGAGGTCCGCCAATGGAACCGCAGTATGCTGGGGAGTGGCCAATGGGAAGGCATAGTGGTCTCTATAGCAGTTATCGCCATGGAGACAGGGCTGCCAATGACTCCTCCTCCAGGACTAACCCCGGTAGTGACTTCTCGTGACTGGATGGATTGATGGATGTGGTGTACATAAAAATGATGGGCAATCGGGCACTGGTGGCTCACGCCTGTAATCCTAGCTATTCAGGAGGCTGAGATCTGAGGATCACGGTTCAAAACCATCCGTGATACTATTTAACTCCAATTTACCACTAGAAAACCTAAGTGGAGCTCTGGCTCCAAGTGGTGAAGCACTAGCTTTGAGCAGAAGAGCTCAGGGACTGCTCCCAGTTCAAGCCCCCCAACCTACCGCACAACCGCCCCCCAAAAAAAGTTGGCAGCTCATGTCTGTAATCCTATAAAAAAAAAAGTTGTCAAGTCCCACGTCAACATACAAGCTACACATGAGGACATCCACAATGCTGACTCAAGGTATGGGAAGCATGAGGGTAAGCCAAGTCAAAAACCCCTAAAACAACAAACCCAACCAAACAAAAGAACCTCAAGACCCTCTGGCAAAAAGGCTAGACGGGATGACCCAGTTGGTAGCGCAACTCCCTAGCAAGTGTGTGAGGCCCTGAATTCAAACCCTAGTACCAACAAAAAAGAAAAACCAACCACAACTTTGTGCCTAGTAAACAACAGCAAATGCAATCCGCTGCTGGAGTGCTATGGGAAAACCTAGTCTAGAGGGAGGAAACAAATTGATACTTTTGCACCAAAATCTATGAAGTATATTTACTTCTACCATACAACTCAACCTACACAAAACGTACTAAAATGACAACCATGAAAAGATTCACATGGGCTGGGAAAGTGGCTCAGTGGTAGAGCGCTTGCCTTGCATGCCTGAGGCCCTGGGTTCAATTCCTCAACACCACATAAGCAAAAAGAAAAAAGCTGGAAGTGGTGCTGTGGCTCAAATGGTAGAGCGTGAGCCTTGAGCTGAAGAGTTGAGGGACAGTGCCCAGGCCCAGAGTTCAGGCCCCATGACCGGACCCAAAAAAAAAAAAGATTCAGTTTTTTTTCTAAGGGACCCAAAAAAAAAAAAAGATTGTTTTTTTTTCTAACAGTGAAATTAAAATGGAACCACTAAGATTGTGGGCCAGACTTGGTTAAGTGTACAATGGCATAGCCATATAGCATGTAATTATGAAAAAGTGACAGACACCAGATCTGTATTTACAGAAAGACATGCACAAAACGTTGGAGAGGGAAAACAATTCACAAAGCTGAAATGGTGACTCTATATAATAATCATGGAGCAGGGCGCCGGTGGCTCCCCCCTGTAATCCTAGCTACTCAGGAGGCTGAGATCTAAGGATCACAGTTCAAACCAGCCCTGGCAGAAAAGTCCATGAGACTCTTAACTCTAATAAACCACTAGAAAGCTGGAAGTGGCTCTGTGGCTCAACCGATAGAACACTCGCCTTGAGCTGAAGAGGCCCAGAGTTCAAGCCCCATGACCTACCAAAAAAAAAAAAACAAAAAACTAATCGTGGAAAACTGCTTTCCCAAATGGGGTTACCTGTGTGGAGTTTTTGTCCAGTTTCTTTCAGATAGGGTCTATATAGACCATTGGCCTTATGTAGCCCAGGCTGCGCTCAAACTCAATGCTCTTGCCACTGCTTCTCAGGAACTGGGATTACAGATGTGCACTTGGGTGCAGCACCTAGAAGTCTTGAACTCACAATCTTCCTACTCATCCTCTTTGCCTTGATTACCCACCATGTGCTTACTGCTAGCACTTGCTTTTTATTAATTTTTATACCTCGTTTTTGTTACTTTTATAATACAATTTTCAAGTATTTTCATTTTTAAAAAGCCACCAAACCCATAAAATATTAATATTTTTATTTTGGCATCAAAGCAGTATTTTATACATTAACTCAGTTTACTGTAAAAACATTTTATGTACAACTGCAGAGAAACCATTACACAAATTGCTAACATAAAAAATGGGTTTAATTTAAAAAGTACATTGATACATAAATTGGAAAATATTTTCTCTGTAGCAAAATGGTAACATTTCCCCATTTAAACCAATAGTAAATGAATTATGCATTTATAAATATGGTTTGAACTCTAGGATCTACAAAAAACATTAACTTCAATTACTGAAAAAGCTGTGCTGGTCAGTAGCTCATGCCTGTAATCCTAGGTACTCAGGAGGCTGAAATCCAAGGACTATGGTTTAAAGCCAGCCTATTAAGAAATCCAAGGGGATCCACCTCCAATTAACCAGAAAAAAGGTGGAATGGAGGCATGGTTCAGGTGGTAGAACAACAGCCTTGAGTGAAAAAGCTGAGTTTTGCTTGAGGCCTTGAGTTCAATCATTTGTACTAATAAAAAAACAAATCAAGGAGGTGGGATGGGGTGAGTGACAGAGGGAAGAATACTTTTCTTAAGTTGTATACTTAAAATTCCTATTAATCTTCCCTCTTTTTTATGCCTGGTCATTTTACTTTGTGCTGTTCCATAATCTACATGTTTATTTTAGCTGTTCCTTCACAAGGAGCAACCTTTTAATTTGCTTGACACATAATCCATTCTTATCCAGACTGGATATTTAGATACTATTATAACATGACCAGTATTTGGGACAAAACCAGAATCTAATAAATTATAACCCACAAGGCACATGTGGCCTACCATCAAACACCTTCCCTAACTCCCTGTAGCTTGATAAGAAGCCACAAAACACAGGAATAAAGTGAAAACTAACAAAGGAATCAGAAAATAAGTGTGAGGAGAGAGCAAGGGAAGGCCCAAAACTGTCCAAAAAGAAATGCACTTATTACCTGACTTATGTAACTATAATCTCTCTATACATCACAACAATAAAAAATGCCAAGAGAATTCTGAAAACAGGGTAGGAACCTGCCTCAGAAATCAGGATAAAGTGGCTGTCAAAGTCCCTTACTGCAAGGGGACCAAGTAGTGAAACCAGATATAGAAACAAGAGCCTGTAAAGAGTTTAGTTGTTCAAACTAGTTAAGAATGACAGACTGTCATTTAAATTTTCCTGCATAGCTTATTCTAAGACCCCCCCAGTAGAGAACTTCCAGAAACTAAGGTAAGAAGACAGTAACACCCTTTAAGCTTCTATGCTATGGAGAATGTTTTCCAAAGAAATTATGTCCAAGTCATTTGTCTAGCACTAGATTCATTTCTTCAGTTCCTGCGAAGCAACAACATAAAATAACCAAAGAGCTGTCTTAAAAAGGAGTGTCTAAGCAGTGAACACTTCTGAATGGAGAAATACTTTTAACAGAGTAGATCCTATGTTGTAGCTTAAGATCTAGGATAATGAGAAACAAAAATCAGACTATTACTACCTAAAAGTCCCAGACTGCATACTGTAAATTAACCTCTTGAACACTCATGATCCATTAAAAGAACACTTTGGCATGTACGTAATTTTTACACTCATTCCTTTCTTTGTGCTTCAGTTGTGATTATCTCCTTTCATGAAAAGAATGTTTTCAGCAGTATATAACTAAGCCCCTTGGTCTCTTAATTCCTTACAGTAGATGATGTTAACCTTTTGAAACAGCATTTACCCAGACTCTTAATTTACAAAGAAACTATGGAGCCACCACATACATTTGAATTTAAGCTTAAAAACACTGGCTTTATGTTCAAAGGTACTTCTATATACACTATTGTGAAAAATTAGATGAAGCCTGAATCACCTTGTAAAGAGAAGCTAAGTATATCAAAATGAGCACAACTATGGGTAATCCATAGAGTATATTTCATTTCCCCAAATTTAAAAGAGACAGGCATAAACTATAATACAACTCACCTAAGTCTGAAACCTCATTTCAAAACACTGCTCACCATTAATTCTCAGGAGATACAGTATAGGACACAAGGAGTAGTTGCTTGGCAAAAGGCCAAGGAATATTTAAAGAACATTATTCTTTGGGGGACAGGGAATAAAACTTTGTGAGAGGGCACATACTTAGTATATGTAAGATTCTGGGTTCAATCCCCAGCACTATGAAAAAAAAAAGATAGATTAACCTAAATACAGGAAGAAACATGATTGACTCAATCTTGTAACATACAGACAACACCTTAGAATGTAAATGCAATACAAGATGACAAGTTGAGAAAAGTGGTAGTAATAAAGATGTAAATGATAACAACCAGGTAAGACGGTTTGGATGGAGCCTGTCTCTGCAAGGGATGAAGACCAAAGGCAGAACACTTCTTTGGACTGTGTGAGAAATAGCATTCATGTGGCCCAACAGTTGTATGTCTTCTACTTCTCACTGACCAAATGCTTTACTGAAACTCCGCTTCTGCCCTCTATTACTTTGGTTGCCACCTGACTGCTGTCCCCTGAAACTTCTATTTCCGCCCCGCTGTCCCCTGAAGTTTCTGGTTCCGTTCCGCTGTCCCCTGAAACCTCGGCTGCCATCTCGCTGTCCCCTGCCACCTCGGCTGCCATCTCGCTGTCCCCTGCCGCCTCGGAATCCTTCTGGTGGCCCTTCCAGCTCTGGTTGCTCTGTGGCCACAGAGAGCTGCCAACGTCGTGAGTCATGCCATTTCTCCTGTTGAGAGAAGGTTTTGTTCTTATCTGCTCTGATTTTTACTCAATTTGGAAAAGGCATTATAAAAATATTTTTCAAAAGAGAATTGGACCCAACATAACTGTAACCCTTCTGTACATCACACTATAACAACAATAAATTCTTTTTTTAAAAAGACATAAAGACACAAATACACACATATACATAGAACAACCAGGTTGATAACTAGTGCTTTAAAGGTTGCTGGACTAGTAACAATGATCCTCTCAGCCCAAAAGCCATTGATGTCTGGAAAGACACATTTCACAACAAGAGAGAGCCCTTATCACTACATTATAGTCCAGCCAATTACTAGACTTTAACAGCAGTCAAAAGTAATGAAACAAATTAGGAGGCTGGGTGTCAATGACTTGAACCTGTACTCCTACTCAAAGAGGCTAAGCTCTGAGGATTGAGGTTCAAAGGCAGCCCATGCAGGAAAGACTCATTTCTTCTTTTTTTTTGTTTTTTTTTTTAAACTGTATTTTTTTTGTCTTTTCTTTTTTGGTACTGGGGATCGAACCCAGGACGTTGCACTTGCTAGGCAAGCACTTTGCCACTGAGCTACATCCCAGCCCGGAAAGACTCATTTCTAATTAACTACCAAAAGGCTAGCAATAAGAGCTGTGGGTCAAGTGGTAGAATGCTAGCCTTGAACAAGAAATCTAAGGGACAACTAGTGCCCAGGCCTGGAATTCAAATTTTTTATGCACACACACACACACACACACACAAGACACACAGATATACTGCAATCTTGAATTAAGATGGACAGTTTTAAAATTTATATAAAAACATGTGCAACACAGACTGACCTGTGGGGAAGCGTAGGATGGACAAAATGCAGGATCAACAAAAACATAACAGAAGAAGAAATAAAATTATAAATTTAGGGGGCTGGGAAGGTGGCTCAGTGGTAGAGTGCTTGCCTTGCATGCATGAGGCCCTGGGTTCGATTCCTCAGCACCACATAAGCAGAAAAAGAGGGAAGTGGTGCTATAGCTCAAGTGGTAGAGCACTCACCTTGAGCTGAAGAGCTGCCCAGGCCCAGAGTTCAGGCTCCACAACTGACTCAAAAATAAATTAAAAAAAAAAAGATGTGTGTGTGTGTATAAAAAATTTAGAACCTGACTTTTAGTAAAGGGATCGATTTTAGCAATTGTGTCTCATAAGTGTCTCATAAATTCTGTATTTTTATAATAAACACTTTACAATTTAGTCACATTAGCTGTTAAGTTCAAGAGCAAATACCTGTATTTCTGTGACAGCTGCAGTACGTACATCAAAACAAACACCCTAGGAAGTAAAGAAAATGAAGTTAGTCCAAGGAGAACAAACTGAATGATACTGCAAACCACAGGTATCATGTAAAAAAAAAAAAACAGATTTAATTTTTAGATGAACTTTAGATCAAGACCAACATATTGCAGCTCCCCAAAGTCCAGGGGGATTTCTAAAAGGACTAAGAAGGATCTAGAACTAGATTCTTAGCTCTAACACTGTGCAAGCCCTGAAGTAGCTATTAGCTTCTATATATACATATATATTATCACTCTAGCCATTGTCAAAGTCCTTTTAAGTTATGACAGGAAGCCAGAATGGCCTCCTCTTTGGGTGGCACAGCTGAGACTCACAGCTGTGAAGTGGAGCAGTACTTAAAAACACGTCTTGCTGGGTGCTGGTGGCTCATGCCTGTAATCCTAGCTACACAGGAGGCTGAGGTCTGAGGATCGTGATTCAAAGCCAGCCCTGGCAAGAAAATCCCTGAGACTCTTATCTCCAATTAATCACCAGAAAACTGGAAGTGGCACTGTGGCTCAAGTGGGAGTGCTAACCTTGAACTGAAGAGCTGAGAGACAGCACCCAGGCCCAGAGTTCAAGCCTTATGACCAAAACACCAAAACAAATGAACGAACAAACACAGTCTGAGAACCAGGGCCCTGGTGTCTCATCTCTGTTAATCTGGCTACTCAGGAGGCTGAGACCTGGCGTATGGAGGCTCAAAACCAACATAAGCAGAAAAGTCTGTGACACTCTATCACCAATTAACCAGCAAAAAGCCAGGCTGGAGATGTGGCTTAAGTTGCTAAGTATTAGTGATGAATAAGCCCTGTTAGCACAAAACAAGCAATCAACAACAAAAAATCCATGGCAAGGCTCTAAAACCATTACCACCTACTGATTTCCATTTTCTAACAAGAAGGGTCAACTTAAAGCAGAAAAATTAAAGATCTATTTCTAATTTATGTTTGGCCTCCTGAGATAGTGTGAGAAGTTTCCAGGATCAATCTTTGATAAGAAGTGCTTTCTCTGCCAGTCAAGGAAGCTAAGCACAACATGTCAAACTACGGCTGTACAGGCATCACTCATCTCTTTGCCATCTTTAACTGCTGTATTTTGGCTCAAGTGGTAGAACACATATCTAACAAGTCAATACACTGGATTCAAACCCCAGCTCTATCAAAACAAAACAAAAAACACAAAAATATTCCTGTTTTTTTTCCCCCTGTCATGAGGCTTGAGCTCAGGGCTAGCACTCTACCATTTGAGCCACACTTCATTTTTTTTGTTTGTTTTTTAATTGAAGATAAAAGAGTCTCAGACTTTTCTTCTTGGGCTGGCTTTGAAGCCTGATCCTTGGATCTCAGGTCCTGAGTAGCTAGGATTGTAGGCATGAGCCACCAGTGCCTGACTCCTGCAGAATTTTATGAGAAACATTCCTTCTATCCAACCATTTTACTCATCACAGGTATCATCAGGTACAGATAGATTCTGCCATTAGTGGGTCTCTTCACTCACATACTAAGTATTTCAAGTAGTAACTACAAAGCAGGATTTGTCCTAGAGTATGTCATTAGGCTTTCACTTAGGAAGCACAAACATAGCAAGGTAAAACATATCTGAATTAAAGTTACATCCTAAAAATGCTCAAGTGCAGCTATGAATGCTTGCTAACCTTGCCTAGTAAGCTTCTCATGGAGTTAAAGCTAAAAAAAGTCATTAAGAACACTAGAGGGAGAAACACTAAACAGTATACATCTAGCCTGCACTTTAGATGAGAAGACAACACACTACCTGACCATTTGGCTTATCTTTCTACAAACACAATAACTTTTGGGATAAATCTAAATTCGTTCACTATACCAGTAGTTGTCCATGTTTGACCCCATGTACCTCTAGCCCTTCAAGGATTCCACAAAGTCAAACTATTTTCACAGCCGTATTTATGCATTATCAGTCTTTTCCTCTCTCATTCTCCTATAGAGTTACAGTGAAGTCTGGAATAAGTAAGGATATGATATTTTAGTTGTAAAGGTGTAACTGAATATACATTAGTTAACATGTGGAAATGTGTAGCATTATTTGCAGAATGACTTAGAATGCAAACAGATAGTAGTCACCAGTAACCAAGTAGCAATTATCATGGAAAATATCACTCAGGGACTGAAAACTGAAGAATGTCCCATGTGAATCCCATGTGAAGGGGCAAAACACCATCCTGCATCCCTGATCACATTAAGTAAGCTATATATCACAGCAGAGGCCCTAGACTTACCAGCTTTCCCTTGAGGAAGACCATTCCCTTTATTTTGGAATCGATGCTCTCGCCTAGCTGCTCCTTAAGTTCTTTCCAAGCATAACTAATGTTTGGCATTTCAATTGAGCACTGCAGGATCATGGTCACAAAACCCTTATGGCAGAAGGGAACAGAATTAGTGCAAATAAAACTATGGAAACCAGCAAAATTCGTGCATTATATCAATGTCAATATCTGGTTGTGAGAAGTTTTGTAAACCATTACCACTGTTGGAAAATGGACAGAGTATACAAGAAATTGAATAATGTTAATTCTTAAAACTGCATGTAGATCTATAATCAGCTTACTGAAATTTAAAAATTTCAATTTATAAAAGAAAAAAAAGCATATACCTTCTAAAGTTCTAGATATGCTACTAATGTACTTATATTGCATTTATGGATATATATTTTGGGCTCTTAAGAATTAAAAAAATTACCAGTGGCTCACGCCTGTAATCCTAGCTACTCAGGAGGCTGAGATCTGAGGATCACATTCACAGCCAGCCCAGGTAGCAAAATCCGTGACTCTTTATCTCCAACAAACCACCAGAAAACTGGAAGGGATGCTGTGGCTCAAGTGGTGGAGTGCTTGCCTTGAGCTGAAGAGCTCAGGGACAGTACCCAGTCCCAGAGTTCAAGCCCCATGACCGACAAAATAAAGTAAAAAAGAATTAAAAAAAAAAAACAAGATATAATTCATATACCATAAAGTTCAGCATTTTCAAGTGTACAATTCAGTTCTGTTTATAAACCCTATTTCTAGCAGCAGTCATTGCTATTTCTCCTTGCCACCAATCATCATTGTTTGTTTTTAATCAGGAAAGTGATTTAAAAAAAATAGTACCTTTTCTTTATGAGAAAATGAAACAGGAAAATTCAAATAAACTCAAGTACTACTCAAACCCCAAATTATATACTCAAAACTTACTGCCTGTGAGTTGATTAAGGAGCGCTGATCCACTGATGTGGCACCTGAAATATGGGCCAGGGCTGCGGCCAGGGCCTCCACGGCTCCCTTCTCCTCTATGAGCTTCTCAGCTGACTGCTTGAAGTGGCTAATGGCAGTAGGAGGCACAGTATCTAAAAGCCTATGATTACAATGATAATGTGTGCAATTAGGAAAAAGTTTAGAACTTAAATAAAAAGTGTGCTTAGCTTACATTCTGATAAACCACTCTAAGTAGTTTGGCTTATCTTGGAGATTTTAAGGAATATGATAAATGATAGAGGTACTTCCTGTGCTGTGACTGATCAGATCTGATCACAGTTTACATTCCATATCTAGTTTAGTCCCCTACTTGGTAAAATGAAAACTATTTAAGTCAGCAAGTATTTGGCATTAGGTTAATTAGCAGTGGTGTTGTTAACAAGGGGACCAAGAACATTTTCTAAAATGGAAAGATGTTTGGCTGCTTAGGATCTCTTGCTGTTCTCCCAGTATAGCAAATCAATTTTAAAATGAAGACTTAGGAGACCTTATTAGTTTGTTGGGAGGTGATTATTATCTTGGCAATAGAACCCAAAAGGGCTCCAAGTTGGAAGAGATTTTCCAATACTAGAATGAGAAAGGCTGAGGCCACTGAACAGGGCTCTGCTCTAAGTTGACAGAGATTTTCTAATACTAGAATGAGAAAGGCTGAGGCCACTGAAATGCCTCTGTAACATGGCTGCCACTGGATGCTGTCTTTTTTTTTTTCTGGTTGGTCATGGGGCCTGAACACTGGGGGCCTGGGCGCTGTCCCTCAGCTCAAGGCTAACTGCCATTTGAGCCAGAGCACCACTTCCAGCCTTTTCTGTCTATGTGGTGCTGAGGAATCAAATATAGGGCCTCATGCATGCAAGGCAAGCACTCTACCACTGAGGCACCTCCTCAGCCCCTGGAAGCTGTCTCTTATAAACCACTAGCACCTGTTGTCTCCTTGCCAGCCATCTAACCCCAAATTTTCTGAACTGGCACCCTACAGAACACTGACTGCAGGACATAAAAAAGATTATTTAGAGCAAGATAAACTTAAAACAAAAGCAAAATGTAATCAAAATATAATCTGAGTACAGGTGGTGTACATCTGTAATCCTAGCTACTTAGGAAGCTGATCCTTAAGAGGATAGAGGGTTGAAGCCAGCCTGGGCAGAAAAGTCTGTAAGACTACATCTCTAAAATAACCATGCTGGAAACATGGCTCAAGTGGTAGAATACTAACCTTCAGCAAAAAAAGTTTAAGAACAGTGCCCAGGCCATGAGTTCAGTACCAAACATTCTCATTATGGCTACTTTCAGATCTTGTACTATCTCAAATTGACTGATTTATCCAGTCTGACAACGCTGTAATACCATTTACCAATACTAACCAGCCTCTGGCCTAATGTTCCAACAGTAGGCCTGCTCACCTTTTGAATAGAGAGCAAACTATTACTGCTTTCTGGGTAAGTCCTACAGGACATACTGGACCCAGTCTCCCTGCCTTTATTTTTTTGTATTTATTTATTTTTTTTTGGGTACGGGTACGGGGACTTGAACTCCAGGGTTTATATTATTTGGATTTGCATACTGGCTCAAAAGCCTGATCAGATTTTACTGTCCTGCGTAGTTAGGATTATAAGTGTGAACCAGTGGTGTCTGGCTTCCACAACTTATTTTAACAAAAACATGAATGATTTCCAAACTCAGGATTTCCTTAGCAGAGTACAACAATGTAGCTCACACTAGTCAGTACCAAGAAAATGGTTCCTGGTTTTCATGTTAACTTTACTCACCCTCAGGAGTATGCTGTACAGAGGAAACAGTAAGAGATGCTAAACAACTAAACATCTTTCCATTTGTAGACAAATAATATTCTTGCTCCCCTTGTCAGCAACATCACTGCTAGTTAACCCAATGCTAAATAATTGCTAACTTAAATAGTTTTCGTTTTATCAAGTCAGGGACTAAATTAGATGTGGAATGTAAACCATGATCTAATCTGATCAGTCAAAGCACAGGAAGTACTTCCATCATATCTGAGGTAATACTCATTAAAATCTCAAAGATAAGCCAAACTACTTATAGTGGTTTCCTTTTTGGAACAGAATTGGGCAGGGATGATTAAACTGTGCTACCTTAGCACAGTCTGAGGGTTTTAAAGAGAAGTAAGTTAGTAACTGTTTACAATGAAGAAATGAATTTTACATGATGATAATGACAGTGTTGGAAAAACTTTAGAACTTGAATTAAAAAGTGTGCATAGTTAACATTTTGAAATAAAAAGGAGGGGCTAGGAAGGTGGTTCAGTGGTAGAGTGCTTGCCTTGCATGCCAGAGGCCCTGGGTTCAATTCCTCAGCACCACATAAGCAAAAAGAAAAAAGCTGGAAGTGGCGCTGTGGCTCAAGTGGTAGAGCGCTAGCCTTGAGCTGAAGAGCTGAGGGACAGCGCCCAGGCTTAGAGTTCAGGCTCCAGGACCAGATCCCTCCACCACCACCAAAAAAAAAAAGAAATAAAAAGGAATCAGGGGCTAGAAAGGTGGCTCAGTGATAAGAGTGCTTGCCTAGCATGGATACGGCCCTGAGTTCGATTCCTCAGTACCATATAAGTAGAAAAAGCCATAAGTGGCACTGTGGCTCAAGTGGTAGAGTGCTAGCCTTGAGCTGAAGGGCTGAGGGACAGTACCCAGGCCCAGAGTTCAGGCCCCACAACCAACCAAAAAAAGGAATCAATCAAGGTACTGCACAAAAGACACAGACCAAGCACTTTGGCAATTACAGACGAACATACCTGATGGCATCTTTGCTGGAAGCTTTTATTATTTCTGTTGCAGAAGGAACACCTATTCGTTTAAATTTAATTCCCTGTACAAAAATAAATCATAACATAAAAATGACTATCAATTATTCCCATCGCATCTCTCTCTCTCACACACACACACACAGCACCCCTGTCCCCAAAATGCGATACAGTCATTAAAAAAAGTTTTCAGGGCCTGGCATGGGAGTGCAACACCCAGGAGGATGGAAGAAAGGTTAAGGGCAGCTTAAGCTATAAAGCCTGAGTATAACTTAATACACGCCCATCTAAAATATAAATGAACAAATAAACCTAAATAAGCTTTATCCTATGTAGAAAAAGTTGCAGGAATAATGTAAGGAGTTTCTGTAGATCACACAGGTCTGCTATAGCTAGCATCTTATGTTACTAGGGTAGATTTGTTAGAACCAAGAATTCAAGACTTTGTTCCACATTTTTCCTTGTTTTCTATGAACTTAATGATTTTAGTTTGAAAAGTCAAAGGGCCAGGGTCAAAGATTTCCAGAGGTGAATGCATCTCACCTCGTACCAGGGACACATGGTAACTGACAATGTGAACCATGACTTCCTGGTCTTGGTAGTGTTTACAGGACTCTCCACTGTAAAGTCCTCACTCTCTACTATGTTCTGTTCACTTTAAATAAGCCACAAAGTACAGTCTATGTAGGACAAGATTAAGCTCTACTTTCTGGAAGAATCTACAAAATTTAAATTCTTTAAGGTTGCCTGCCTCTCTTCCTCTTTTTTATGGAGGCTGAACCCCAAAGCTTTGCACATGCTTGGCAAGCACACTACCACTGGGCTGAAAGCCTTTTTCTTTTTGACTCCCCTCCCCTACTCTCCTGAGAATTCCTGTGCCCCTTAATCTGCTCAAATATTTCTGGTGTGCTCATTTGTTGCCTGAAAACTGCCTTTTAAGCACATGAAGAGTACTGTTTACAAATGCAGTTTCAAAAGGGGCATTATATCATAGGACATCATGCTAGAAACAAGTCAAATAAATTTAATAAAAATGAGTAACAATGCTGGGTGCTGGTGGCTCACGCCAGGAATCCCAGCTACTCTGGAGGTTGAGATCTGAAGATCGTGGTTTGAAGCCAGCCGAGGCAGGAAAGTCTGTGAGACTCTTACTCACAGCAAGAGGTAGCACTGTGGCTCAAGTGGTAGAGCACTAGCCTTGACCACAAAGAGACTAAGGGACAGCGCCCAAGCCCTGAGTTCAAGCCCCAGGACTGGCAAAAACAAAACAAAACAACCCACGTGCTAAATTACGAAAGAGGAAAGTAATTTTACCGCTTTTTGTTCCACTTGTACTAACTGGTATTCTTCCTTGTGCTGATAGAAGCAGATGCACACCCCTGTCCTTCCAGCTCGACCTGTGCGCCCAGAACGATGAATGTAGGATTCCACATCCTATTGAAGAAAAATATGAGTGACACAACAGAGACACATACCTAACAACCTATGCAGAGGTCAGTGAACACTCTGCATAGGAAGGAGGTCCCTTAACACTTCATTTTTTTGCATGTGTGTGCCAGTCCTGGGTATTAAACTCAGAGCTTGGGCATTATCCCTCAACTTTATTGTTCAAGGCTAACATTCTTATCACTTGAGAGCCACAGCTCCATGTCTAGCTTTTCGGTGGTTAGTAAGTCAAGACTTTCCTGCTTGGGCTGGCTTTGAACTGTGACCTCCAGAACTCAGCCTCCTAAGAAGCTAGGATTCTATGTGTGAGGCAACAGCAACCAGTTGACCCTTCAATTTAAAGCAAATGCCAATGGAAGGTGTAGAACACATCTTCAACAGCAGTCCTTTCCTATTCCTTAAGTCAATTTGCAAAGGGCACTGTCTGACAAAGCATGTATTTCCAATTGCAAGTAGCCATAATATAAATTCAAAAGAAAACAATTATAATGTATCCTATTTAATTAATTCTCTGCATCCAAGTCGTTCCATTTCAATATGGTATTTAAATAAAATAGGCTTATCCTTAACAAATTTTCTTTTAAATATTCAGAATACATAATAAATAAAAAATTGCTTCAATTCAAAGATCCTATAATCCACAAGCCTCAGTAGCTTTACCACAAGGTTACTGACTACATTTTGTCTTCTTCTAGCTTGTACATTTACATATTCCTACATCTACTTCATCTTCAAGTCCTTCTCCCCAACTTCAAGGTCTTCTCAGAATTATACTACCCTACTCTCCATGAAGACTTCCAGGCTACCTTGGCAGCAAAAGGCATCTTTCCCACTCTAGCCACTATTGTTCTTCCTCTATCAGTTCTGAAACAAAGGCAACTAAGAACCATAAGAGGTTCACTTGCAAAGTTACCTCTAATACCCTATTACACTGTTGAGATAGCTTTTATACAACTTATTTTAGACTCCCAAAGAAACAAAATCCAATCTTACAATCTAAGTATAGAACACATACCTTTGGTGGAGAACTCTGTACAACCAAATCAACTTCAGGAATGTCTAAACCACGTGCAGCGACATTGGTTGCCACCAAAACTCCAAAATCACCATTTCTAAAACCTTTCAAGGTGATTTCCCTTTGCTTCTGTGGAATGTCTCCATGTAATGACTGCGCTTCCTGCAAATCCAATAATACATCCTCAATTAAGGCTTGTAAAGACATATTTTTTGATGATTCTGCTAACAATGTGAGGCAAACGTGTCTTTATAACTTCCAAATTACAAATTACCTCAAACTCCCAATTAGTAAATCAATTATATAAAACATATTCATCAAGGGCTGGAAAGGTGGCTCAGTGGTAGAGTGTTTGCTTTGCAAGCATGAGGCCCTGGGTTCAATTCCTCAGCACCACATAAACAAAAAAAGAAAAAAGCCAGAAGTGGAGCTGTGGCTCAAGTGGTAGAGCGCTAGCCTTGAGCTGAAAAGCTGAGGGACAGTGCCCAGGCCCAGAGTTCAAGCCCCATGACTGAACCCCAAAAAAAGAACAAAAAACAAAAAAACATATTCATCAAGGCTGAAAACTCAGTCAAGAGTGATAAATCCTACTTTGTCATGAAACTTTAAGTTTGAGTCACCCATCTTTCTCCCATCTGAGATGAGACTAAACCTAAAAGCTGGAAATCATGAGATGAGTAAAAACATATATATTCAAAATGAAGATTTACTGATGGCACCAGCTTTGCAGTCATGAAAGACCAACCTGCTTCATTGCTGAACTCTGTGATAGTTCTTGGGCTTCTTTCTTGGTTTCACAGAAGATGATCGTGCGCCCCTGATGACCACTGTACACTCGGATCACATCCCCAATAACTGCTGCCCTCTCAGTCCAGTGACACTTGATAGCTAAATGCTTTAAGAGAAAAATATTTTAGTAAAGACTTGTGGAAAACTGAAGTTACCTTCTCCCTGAAGTTATCTTCTCAATTCTGGCTAAGTAATGTCTTGGTATCATAAACAACTCAATATTGACAGAGCTGAAGGGTGTCACTTTCGCATAGAGAATACAACAAAACTAAATAAGCCATCAAAGTGAAGAGTAACCTGATGTGGTCTGGCACCTTGTCCCTTCTCTTTCTCCAGAGTATCTAGCTTCTTTCTCACTTAACCACAAAATATAAGAAATGCCACTCCCGGATTCCTAAAGGAAACTAAGTAAATGGCAATAAAAGTTTCTTTAGGTCTTGTCCTTTGATCACTTAAAAAAACAATTTGTTGTCAATTACTGTATAGGTCTGTTCCTTCCGTGAAATGAATTCATCTAGGTATTGAAGCTAAGATGAAAAGTTTCAAGATAAAGCATGTGCTGTTGCCCTCTAGTGGCTAAATCCTAAGTTTAATTTCTTTATCTACATAATTCAGACATATTTAGATTCCAAATGATTCTTTTATTTAGGTTACCAGATGATGAAATATTGAAACACAGATACTATATATAACTCAAATAGAAATGCATCTTTAGTTTGCTCTACATACAAATTTAGTGCTTATTTGGACAAAGGATTTGAATTTGCCAGTCTTAATACTATCAGAGAGGAAACAAATGAGATAACTTAATACTAATTCCGGCAACTAAATAAATCATTTACCTCCACAGTTACTGCTGTTTTCTGAGTCTTTTTACCAATCAGGTCCACCTGTTCATATGTAGATTTCATGTATTTCTTAGCAACATTAAATACCCAATGAGGGCAAGTTGCAGAAAAAAGCAATGTTTGGGGATTGTCTTCAGAATCTTTGGGGGGAAAAAAAGTCAGTATGAATAATTCAAATAAGCCTACAGAGAACTCTACCACACCCTAGTCTTTAGAGGGTCCACCAGCAATCACCAGCAACCACTTGAGGCTTGCCAGGCATTGAGGACACAAAAAATGTTAACATCAAAGCTTCCCAACAACTGAAATAACCTATGTAAAGGAGTCTTCAAATAACCACCATATTCTAAACTTAATTTTGCTTTTCTGATTATTGGCTTCCACAAAAGAAATATATGCACTATACTGTAAGGTCTACCAATTGTGTAATACCAAGTCATCAAGTCTAGTAGTCACAAGTACAGATACCTAAACAAATTACCTAATAAAAAAACCAGTGTGTGTGGGGCTGGGAAGGTGGGTCAGTGGTAGAGTGCTTGCCTTGCATGCATGAGGCCCTGGGTTCGATTCCTCAGCACTACATAAGCAGAAAAAAACCAGAAGTGGAGCTGTAGCTCAAGTGATAGAGTTCTAGCCTTGAGCTGAAGAGCTGAGGGACAGTGCCCAGGCCCAGAGTTCAGGCCCACAACTGACAAAAACAAAAAACCAGTGTGTGTGTGAATTTACAATTCCATAGCTAGCCGGTCACTGATGGTTCATGCCTGAAAACTTCTTTGCTACTTAAGAGACTGAGATCTCAAGAATCACAGTTTGAGACAAGCCCAAGCAAAAGTCTACAAGATAGATATCTCCAAAATAGCTAGGAAAAAGTTGGGCTGGAGGCATAGCTCAGAGGGTGAGTACCCAAGCAAGCAACCATGAGGCCCAGGGTTCATGTGCAAAACCCTATATATTCAGCATTAAAAAATTTAAGTAAAAAAAATTCCAATTGTGAGGTCAATTATGATTTTTTTGTGTGTGTCTGTATACCTAAGAGGTATAACTTTCTCATATAAAGGATATTGCTACAATTCTCATATATTTTAAATAGCAATGAAAACTGGTAGAACTTGTTAGAGAACAATTATGACAATGCACATTAAGGAATACTATTTACAACTTTTTTTTTGGTGGGTCATTGGGCTTGGGTTGGGCACTGTCCCTGCATCAGCTCAAGGGGAGCGCTCTACCACTTGAGCCACAGTGCCACTTCTGGTTGTCTAGTGGTTTATTGGAGATAAAGAGTCCCACAGACTTTCCTGCTCAGGCTGGCTTTGAACCAAGATCCTCATATCTCAGCCTCCTGAGTAGCTAGGATTACAGGCATGAGCCACCGGTGCCCAGCAATTTAAAACTTTTCACCTAGTAACTGTACTTCTAGAAATCTGCCCTAAAGAACCAATCTATTGTTATGTGAGGTCTACTTGTATGACTAAATAAGACCTACATGGAATAATAAGGAAAACAGGTAGGTATTAGAAATCATGTAGCATTAAGCGGATTCTTTAATACATGGTTAATTTATTGTAATTAGCACACATTTAGCACATAGAACATAGAAATCAAAAGTACACCAAGGGGTAAGATGACAAGTCATTTCTCTATTCTTTTTAAAGTTTTCTTTCATCGTAGTTATGTGCCAAATCATGACATTTCAAAAACTCCCAAGCTTTTTTCCCCCCCGAATAAGCTAAACCCTTCCAATTTCCTAATGATCCATTTATCTCGCAGAAGACCACCGTTCCACTGGTCCTTCATTAGTTCAAAATTTGGGGCTTACCTTTTTTGTAGGCCACACATAAGATCTCTTCTACTTGATCTGCAAAACCCATATCCAACATCTGGTCAACTTCATCCAGCACAACATGCTTAAGCTTGGTGAGATCGAGTTTGCCGTTCTGTAGGTGGTCTTTGATTCGACCTGGGGTCCCAACCAGGATATCAATCCCATTCCGCATCCGCTCAACTATAAGGAACACCAATAAAAAGTTTTGTTGTTCACATTGGGTGCTGGTGGCTCATGCCTGTAATCCTAGCTACTCAGGAGGCTAAGATCTAAGGATCACAATTCGAAGTCAGCCCAGGCAGAAAAGTCTCTGTGAAACTTACCTCAACCACTCAAAACCTAGAAGTGGCTCTGTGGCTCAAGTGGTAACAATGCTAGCCTTGAGCACACAGAGACTTAGGGACAGTGCCCAGGCTCAGAGTTCAAGCCCCATAACCAACAAAAAATTAATCAATTAATTAATTAAATAATAGCATGCTCATCAGGTTTGGGCACCATCTCAATGTACTTTCACTCTACGGTAACCAATGAGGGTAGCGCCACTCAAGGGGCTCCTGATGCAGTGGGGAAAACTTGTAAGAAAGAACTGACAGTAAGTGTATTGAGTGACTTAACAGGAAATATTCGATTGGAGCATGATAGCATCAAGGAAGACTGACTCCCTCAAAAAGTGAAAATTAGCCAGGCGCGTGGCTCTCACCTGTAATCCTAGCTACTCAGGAGGCTGAGATCTGAGGATCACGCTTCAAAGCCAGCCCAGACAGAAAAGTCTGTAAGACTCTTATCTCCAATTAACCACCAGAAAACCAGAAGTGGTGCTATGGCTCAAGGGGTAGAGCGTTCCTTGAGCTGAAGAACGCAGGGATAGCATCCAAGCCCAAAGTTCAAGCCCCAGGACCAACAACAACAAAAAAACCTGAAAACTGTCAAAGTTTCAGACTTAGTACTAGTAAGAACCTCAAAGAACTAGGATCTTTTGTTTTTGTTTTCCTGAGGTAGGATCTTTCCATGTTACCAAGCTGGCCTCAAACTTTTGATCTTTCTGTCATGAATGCTAGGATTTTAAGCGATGTACCACCACACTTGGCTTGGAATAAGAATTTTCTATTTCATAACAGCAACTGTATGGGGCAGAAGAGACAAGATAGATGAACAAATATTCTAATAAGATATAGAAATGCTCAAGAAAAATGAGGTATTCAATAGAAATGGATGAGATAGTAGTAATATAGTTTTTTCTAAGTCAAGCTGCTATTGTAATCTAGAGATTTTTACCGGGCACTTTGCAAACATTGTTTAATTCAATCTTCCTAAGATTCCTACAGGATGGGTTTAGTAATCCTAGTTATAATAGATGAGAAAGTTGAAGTTAAACTTAGAAAGAACAGGCAAAAGACTGAAGAAACTGACAAACTGAATTCTGTCAATTTAGGTACAAAATATTAGCTCTGTAGTCTTTAAGTAAAATATTGACAGGTAACAGAAAACTCCCAAGAACCATATTTAGAACCACATTCTCACTCAAGACCATGATCCTAACCATATCTTTAAATAAGAGCCACAAAAAAACAAAACAAACAAAAAACTGTGAGCATAAACAACTAGAAGAGGTTAAAAAAAAGTGGAAGAAATCCAATCGTAGCATTTCACCTCCTACTTTTGAATACTTACTTTGACCTCCATAGGGAGTTCCACCATAAAAGCAAGCCACAGATAGCTTTTTTGTGATGTCACTGAAGTCTCTGCTGACTTGACTTGCCAGCTCTCTTGTAGGTGCAAGAACAAGTACCTGGAAGAGAAAAATGAACCACTGAAATCGAAATACTAGGTAGTATGTTACTTGATCAGTCTGGAATTCACCAGAAAGTTGAGATTGTTTTCCAAACACCATTAAATACTGCGCAATGTGTTTCAAAGGACCATAAATATAATACAGCTCTTGACAAATACACTCAGCTCATCATCACAAGAAGTAAGCATCCAAACCACGGTATTCCAGAAAGGTTACATGAAACATAAGTCTATAGGTCCTGTGCAGGCTTTCAGAGAAGAACATTCCTTGAAAATGTGAGCAAGATAGCCAGGAGCTGGTGGCTCACTCCCGTAATCCTAGCTACTAAGGAGACTGAGATCTGAGGATCATGGTTCAAAGCCAGCTGGGGCAGGAAAGTCCGTGAAGCTTTTATCTCCAATAAACCACTAGAAAACCGGAAGTGGCGCTGTGGCTCAAGTGGTACAGTGCTCGCCTTGAGCTGAAGAGCACAGGGACAGAGCCTAAGCCCAGAGTTCAAGCCCCACCACCAACCAAAAAAAAAAAAAAAAGAAAGAAAGAGAAAATGTGAGCAAGAAACTACATTCATGATGTTAGCTAATATTTTTGCTTCTACTCTAGGCTCTACTAAGTACTTAATAGGTATTATTCTGATTCAATTCTCAACACCATCTTAGAAGTAAATATAGAGGGGAAATAACTTGAATAAAGCCAAAAGACGCAACAAAAATTTTTTTCAATTAAAAAAATTAGGGCTAGGAATGGGGCTTAGGAGTAGAGTATTTGAAGCTCTAGTGCATACATGAAACCCTAGGTTCCTTTCCTCACGACCACATAAATAGAAAAGGCTGGACGTGGCACTAGGGCTCAAGTGGTAGAGTGCTACCCTTGAGCAAATGAAGCTCAGGGATAGTGCTCAGGCCCTGAGCACTACCTGGATTTAATCTGACCAGATAGTCAGATTCCAAAATATATAGATAAGTACTACTAAATATAAAAATACTTTTGCCATATAGGCAGACAAGTCAGATGTTTGTTCAAAGCTGTGAGCTTTAACTATATCCAGTATTTTAAAGGAGCTATGATTAATAATAATACAAGTTATCACAACCATGGGACAGATAGTAGTATGTAAACCACACAGTTTATGGCAGACAGCTTCATAAAAGAACTATCCTGGTTTGCCCTCAGATGAATATGTAAAATAAAAGTGGGTGTAGCTGGCTCACTCCTGATCCAGAAGTGGATCTGTGGCTCCAGTGGTAGAGCACTAGCACTGAACAAAAGCAGCTTAGGGACAGCGCCCAGACCCATGTTCAAGTCCCAGGACTGGCACTCCCCAAACCCCCCCTCAAAAAATCCACAATAAACACAATGGAGGACTCATGAGGAACCCAGTAAACTGGTAGGATATGTCAAATGAAGCCTGAAGTGTGTGTTTTAGTTACCTGAGGAGCTCGGCCTCTCTTCCTGTCTTGCAGACCACCCTGTAGTTTCTCAATCAAAGGGATGGCAAAGGAGAATGTCTTCCCAGTTCCTGTCCGTGCCTGTGCAATTAAGTCTTTTCCACTATAGACATGGTGAAATGTCTTTGCTTGTATAGGAAATAGGAAGGTCACCCCACGGGCTGTGAATAAATCAACCATGTTATTTAACATCACAGCTTCTTTTTGTGTGGTCTTGGGAATCAAACCCAAGACCTTGTGCATACTTAAACACATAATTGGCCACTGAGATATATACCTCAGCGCCAACACTGTAATTGTTTAAAACAACACCACCACCAGCCACAGTCAGAAGCATACTCATGCTTCTGGTCCTGTGCAATTAAAGAATCCCTCCTTCTGATTATAGCTACAAAGTCAGTTTCAAACATATGAAATAATGAAGAATCTAGCTCAGTGAAAATAGCAGCAAACTTTAAAGCATCATGTATAGTAACTACATATTATTTTAATAATGACAGTAAGTTAGTTGTCATCAAATCTTATCAACAGGCCAATTTGAGCTAGAAAATTTGTAATCCAGACTGTTGCACCTAAAAAAACTACTAGTGGAGTATCTAGGACCACCTAACTAGTTAATAGACAAGTTGCTAATATGAAATGAGATTAAAAAAGAAAACAATAACATGGCATCAAGTAATTATTTCATCTTGCCAGCACAGCCAATATGTTACATTTCTAAATGTAGTATTAATTTTAATGCTCATTTAAAACAGTTAAATCTCAATATACACATCCACTTAACTATATGGTCGTGTCTTCAATAAGTGTGTTTTGATTCACCTCTACAAACATGCTAGGATGCTTCCAAATATTTTCTAACATCAGAGATGATAGCTCCAAGAATATTACCTTTGAGATGCTTGATAGTCTCTTCAGATATGGGAAAATTAGAGAAAGCTCCTTCTTTTTGTTCCACGGGTATTTCCTAACAAAGAACCACAGAAGGAAATCAATAAAGACAAGTTAAAACAGTGAAAATCTAATGTAAAGCAACTCTTCTTTAAACACTAGCTTAAAAGGGGAAAAAATATAACAGAGCGGCACATCAGCTTCACTGAACATTGATGGAAACGAACTAAGCAACTCAAGGGCAGCGATGGGAGGGAGGGAAGAAGAGGGAAAGAGGCAACAGCTAACACTAAGCAAAACGAAAGAAATGTATGTTATCACCCAACCCAGAAGAAATAGTTGTACTGTCAAAGCTTGTAGAATTCACAAACTTTATAGACCAAGATAATGACAATTTGCTTTGTGAAGGCTAAAATGTGTTTGTAACTTTAACCAAGTATCACTAACCTACATACTGAAATTTATGTAACCATTTAATCTCGATAAAAAATTATTATTTAAAAAAAAAAATCACCAGCTTAAAGTTAACCAAAGGGCTGGGTGGCCAGTGGCTCATGCCTGTTATCCTAGCTACTCAGGAGACTGAGATCTGAGGATCACGGTTTGACGCCAGCCCAGACAATAGTCTGTGAGACTCCTATCTTCTATTAACCAACAAAAAGCCAGAAGTAAAGCTGTGGATCAAAGTGTAGATTGCTAGCCTTGAGCAAAAGAGTTCAGGGGCAGCTCCCAAACTCCAAGTTCTAGATGCAGGACTGGCAAAAAAAATTTTTTTAATTAAAAAAAGTGAGCCAGGTGCTGGGGCTCACCCCTGTAATCCTAACTACTCGGAGGCTGAGATCTAAGGATCACAAGTGGAGGGCTGGGAAAGTGGCTTAGTAGCACAGTGTTTGCCTGGCATGCATGAAGCCCTTGGTTCAATTCCTCAGTACCACATAAACAGAAAAAGCTGGAAGTGGCACTGTGGTTCAAGTGGTAGAGCGCTAGCCTTGTGCTAATGAAGCTCAGGGACAGTGACCTAGCCCTGAGTTCCAGCCCTAGGACTGGCAAAAAAAAAAAAAAAAAAGTGAACCAGGCTGAGAAGTTGGCTCAGTGGTAGAGAGCTTGTCTTGCATGCATGAGGCCACGGGTTTGATTCCTCAGCACCACATAAACAGAAAAAAGCCAGAAGTGGCACTGTGGCTCAAGTGGTAGGGTGCTAGTCTTGAGCTGGAGAGCTGAGGGACAGTGTCCAGGCCCAGAGTTCAGCCCCCACGACCAACAAAAAAGTAAACCAAAGGAAGCAAAATATTGTGGCACATGCTTATAATTCGAGAATTCGGAGGTTGAGTCAGCACGATTACACAGATCAAAGTCAGTTTGGCTCCACAGTGAGACTTTTTCAAAATATGGAAAGAAGTTAATTAAATCAATCAAAGATCTAGGGATATAGTTTTAGTGGTAGAACCCATGTTATGACTTCTTCTAGTAATTTCTGACTTGCAAATAAAGCAGCTTAAGAATTTACCTAACTTCAAAACTGGAAGTAGCACTGTGGCTCAAGTGGTAGAGCAGTTGCCTTGAGCTGAAGAGCTGAGGGACAGTGCCCAGGCCAAGTTCAAGCCCCAGGACTGACCAAAAAAAAAAAAGCTGGAAGTGACACTGTGGCTCAAGTATAGAGCATTTGCTTTGAACAAAAGCTCAGAGAAAGCATCCAGGCCCAGAATTCAAGCCTCAGGACAGTTAAAAGAAAAAAAAAATTGGTTATTTGCAAATGAAGCATTTTAAAACTGCAATTTTTTTTTTTTTTTGCTGGACGTGGGACCTGAACTCTTGACCAAGGCGATGTCCCTCTGCTCTTCAGCTCAAGGCTAGTGCTCTACCACCTGAGCCACAGTGCCACTTCCAGCTTTTTCTGCTTATGTGGTGCTGAGGAATCGAACCCAGGACCTCATGCATGCAAGGCAAGCACTCTGCCACTGAGCTACCTTCCCAGCCCTGCAATTTTTTTTTAGATGATGTCTCAATCATGAAGTTGAAGGTTACCACTCAGGAAGTGCTGACTTATCAACTTTCTTTCTATTAAGATAGTTTGGGTATGAAAAATGACCAAGGTTTCATTCCTAGAACTAAAGTAGGGGCAATAAGTGTAGTAATTATGTATTTTTCTGCAACAATGAAAAGTACTTATGTGCTGTCCATTACAGTGGAACTTTACCTGCTCTGTCTCACTGTTTTCTTCACTGGCAGCTTCACTGGAGTGAGAGTCAGGTTCAGAATGAGAGAGTCCATTCTTCAATTTGGGACTTTTCTCTCCAATTTCTCCATTCACTTCTTTTTCTTTCTTCATTTTCTTGGGCTTAGGAGCTTCAGAAGCCACCTCACTTTTTTGCACTTTCTTAGTTTTAGGGGAGACAACTTTCTTGTCAATGAGTTCCTTTTTCTTTTTAGCATTCTGAGTTTTAGAAGAAATACTATCATCCTGAGATGACTCCTCTTGCTTTTTTGCCTTTTTGGATTTAGGAGAACTCATATCAACTTCAGAAGACCTAGTTTTCTTTTTTTTAGTTTTAGGGGATACAGCTTCTTCCTGAATTTCTGATGACTCTTCAGTCTTCTTGAGTTTTGGCTTTTCTTTTCTAATTTTCTAAAAAAATTTAAAAAAAAATAATAATGTAGATTAAACAGAACAAGGTATCTATCTCACTTGTATGATCCATCAATTCTATATTATTTCAAGATTACTTGAAATTGAGGAACTTAATTTTCAGGCATTCCAACATTTGTTTTTTGACCTTGTGATAAGGCAAAAATCAAACTGAATGCTTTTTAGTACCATTTCTTAGTTATATGGCTATAAATACATTTCAAACATGTTTATTAGCATAGACCATCCAGACAGGCTCTTAGCAACTACTCAATTCATACTGGTTAAATCATTGTAAAACTGAATTTTCCTGACATTTCAAGTCATTCATGAGATACTCCAAGAGACTCTTATAGTTTAGAAAGTGATCAAGTACTGGCCAAAGTTAATTCAAACAGAGAAAGTTATAAATGTCCACAGACATATATGACAGAGGCTAAGCATGTTTATGTTTTTCTCCCTGCTAAAATTCCTATTAAGAAAAGAGGTAGGGGGCCAGGCGCCGGTGGCTCACACCTGTAATCCTAGCTACTCAGGAGGCTGAGATCTGAGGATGGCAATTCAAAGCCAGCCAGCCCAGGCAGGAAAATCCGTGAAACTCATATATCTCCAATAAACCACCAGAAAACCGGAAGTGGCGCTGTAGCTCAAGTGGTAGAGCGCTAGGCCTTGAGCTGAAGAGCTGAGGGACAGTGCTCAGGCCGAGTTCAAGCCCCATGACAGACCAAAAAAAAAAAAAAAAAAGAGGTAGGGGGGCTGGCAAGTTGGCTCAGTGGTAGAGTGCTTGCCTTACATGCATGAGGCCGAGGGTTAGATTCCTCAGCACCACATAAGCAGAAAAAAGCTGGAAGTAGTGCTGTGGCTCAAGTGGTAGGGTGCTAGCCTTGAGCTGAAGAACTGAGGGACAGTGCCAGCTCACATGACCGACAAAAACAAAAACAAACAAAAAACAGGTACAACAGGGAAACATAGATATGTACTTGTCTATCTCAAAAGAGCAAAATGAATTAACTTAAGGACACTATGAAACAAAATGCTATAAGAATTTATTCTAGGGTGGAGGCAGAAGAAAAAAAAAGAATTTATTCTACTATAGATATGTAAATTTTTTGTTTGTTTTTTGGTTGATCTTGGGGCCTGAATTCTGGTCCTGGGTGCTGTCCCTGAACTCTTCAGCTCAAGGCTAGCACTCTACCACTTGAGCCACAGCACCACTTCCGGCCTTTTCTGCTTATGTGGTGCTGAGGAATCAAACCCAGGGCCTCATGCATGCAAGGCAAGCATTCTACCACTGAGCCACCTTCCCAGCCCCTACTATGGATATGTTTAAAGAAAGAAAAAAAGCAAGTGGGACACAGGTGGCTCACACCTCTAATCTTTAGGTACTAAGGAGGCTGGATCTGAGGATCAAGGTTCAAAGCCAGCCCAGGCAGGAAAGTCTGTGACTTATTTCCAATTAACCACCAAACAGAGTAGAGCTATGGTTCAATGGTAGAGCATAAGCCTTGAGCCAGATAGTTTAGGGACAGTACCCAGGCCCTGAGTTCAAGTCTCAGGACCAACTCCCAAAATTCACATACTTAAAGCAAAATACACATACAAGTTACAAATCCATGGAAAAGGTAAAAAAAACCTCAAAAACAAACAATTGATTATTTCTATTACCTGAAAAGTCTGGTCCTCTCCAACTTTTCCTAACAGCAAAAACTACCAACACATTTAGGTGCTGTGGGTACCTCAGTATCTCTCTTGGTGACTCCCAAGCCAATTACAGAACTATGGGGATTCTACTGAGCTAAATTCTTTCTGCCTGACTTCAGCCTTCAAGTCACAGACAAAGGACTGAGAGTATCAGTTCAGGGGCACAACATCTGTCTTACATGCTGGAGGGCTCTGGTTCAATCTCAGCAACTTGGAAAAATTTTAAATGTAAGTCACGAAAAATACGCTAGTGTGCTGCAGAAACTTCAGTCCTTTCATCCCTTGTTGTACTGAGTAAGAGTAAGCTTCCTGTAAGTAAATGAGTATGGTCCCTCTTCTGGGCATTCTATAATTGACATATACTTTAATATCCTATACTGACTGATGAAGAGTCAGTAAATGAGAAACAGTATTTCCCTATCACCTGTAACTAATAGGTCTGTGTTCCCTGGGCCAAAATACTTCCGTATTTAAGAGCTTCCAACAGAAAACCCATGCAGATGAAAGGAAGAAAATTGGAAGCCGTGCACAATAATATAAGGAATACCTACTAACTTTATCTCAGTCTCAAATAAAGTTATATCAGTCAAAAATCATGAGGCTGGATGTTATTTTTAATGTACTTATAATGTACTATGTGATTTGTTCCTTTCATATGTTCTTCCCCCATGGTATAACCCTGTTTTCACTGTATTTGATTCCGGTACCCTGCATTTGTGAATACATTTTTCTAATTTGGGGAGGGGAAGGGAAATAACAAAATGCTCACACAAGGATACAGGCTGACCCATTGTAATAATGAGATGCACAGGACCCTATGTTAAAAATGAATTTTGGTTGGGGAAAGACAAAGGAGGGGGTAACAATGCTGGAGAGGAAATGTACACATTACCTTACTCATGTAACTGTAACCCTTCTGTACAGTATCTTTGCAATAAAAATATAATGAAAAACTTTAATGAGAAAAAAAATCATAAGGCTGCTTTGGGGATTTAGCAGTGGAAAAGCTGTTGCCTAGCAAGGGCACGGCTCTGAATTTGATTCCTAGTACTAAAAATAAGTAAATTTTAAAAAAAGTAAAAACAACCAGATGACTACCAAACTAATTTAACTTGTCACCATTCTGTAAGAAAGTAACGATGAAAGGGGTGACAATGACCAAGATGCATGTACGCATAGTCTTACTTGTGGAATTAAAACCTCTTTGTACAACTATTTTTTTAAAAGGCTTATAAAAAAAAAAAAACACACCTGCGGCACACTGATATTCTGTATAAGAAAGTAGGGCTCAGCACCACAACATTTACACTGCCATGGGAGGTAGGGGGACTTCCTTTTTGTGTATGTGCCGGTCCAGGGGCTTGAACTCAGGGCCTGGGCGCTGTCCCTTGAGCTTCTTTAGCTAACCGATAGCGATATACCGCTTGAGCCACAGCTCCACTTCGAGCTTTTAAAAATATTATTATTAATCAGATATAAGTGTCTCCCAGACTTTTCTGCCCGGGCTGGTTTCGAACAGCGATCCTCAGAATTTAGCCTTCAGAGAAGCTAGGATTACAGGCGTGAGCCACGGGCGCCTGGCCCCCTAGCTCACTAAAGGCAGGCTGCTTAAGCCGGAAACAAAATCTACTTCCCTCATTATAGGAAACTAAAATGTCAATGAAGGCTCAGCCACGTGCGGCAAGAGTTTACTTAGGATCTGGGTCGCCGAAAGCTCTGTCTTCCGTTCTAACTCCTTTCGTGGACGCTCACACCGGACGCAAAGGCTGAGCCTCAGCCTTGGGGCCTACCCGCGGACACAGCAAGCACTAACGGAGGTGCCGGTGCCCCGTCTCCCAGGACCACGTGGGCACCCGCACTCTAGGGGCTCAGATCCCGCCTCCCGCCTAGAGGAGTGTAAAAGCCGGCACGACACGTCGGCCACACGTGAGGTCGCGACGCCCGCTGGCCCGGGGCAGCCGCACTACAGGGACACCGGCCTGCAGAGCCGCACGGCCAACCTCCGGGAGGCCGAGCCTCCGCGTGTCCCGAACCCCAGGGCCCAGCGCCTGCCTTGCCCCGGGTTCCCCAAAATTACCTTCTCATTTTGCTTCCGCAGTGGCTCCATCTTTTCCACAGCCGTGTCTGATTCCAATTCGGCGTCGCTGCGGAGTTTTCCCGGCATAATTCGGCGCCAGCTGCCAAAGGCCGACCGGTCTCCTTAACCGCGTGCAGAGGAAGAGATAGTACCGTCCCGTAGGCCCACCCAGCTGTAGTCACTTCCGGTGGCACAGCACTTCCGGCGGAAGCAGCGGCTTCACGGAAGTCGGAGTTCCAGACTTTGGCGAGGAAATAGCGGCCGCTGACTACCTGGATGTCGAGCGTTGGCAGCTTGCGGCTCTTGCCCGAGGCGGCGCCCCCCGGAGGGTAGGGTGGAGGGAAGAGCCCTGCCTGGTCAATGAAGACGTCTTCATGTTGCCTGGAGAGTGCTTTTGATAGATTGCAAGGTCAGACCGGCGGCCACACGCCCGCTCCAGGATAAGAACCCGAGTTCGAAGCGTCGGCACGTTTCATTCATGCGCACGCTCATACATCTTGAGTGATCTTCCAGTCAGTTGTGAGGAACAGCGCTACTGAACTCCTAAGGAAGCTTTATAGACTATCGAGAGAGGCCCTCTTGCAAGCACTGGGCACCTAGGGTCCAGTAAAAGGGGCGCACCGTCTCATCTCGTGTGTTTCTCAGCTCTTTTGTGCCAGTTATGGGGTTTGCTCAGGGCCTGGGCACGGTTCCTGAGTTTCTCTTGCTCAAGGCTAGCGCTCTACCACCTGAGCCACAGCACCACTTCCGGCTTTGTACGTGGTGCTGAGGAATCAAACCTGGGGCCTCATGAATGGAAGACATGCACCTCTATCACCGAGCCACCTTCCCAGCACCCTATTCCCATTTTCTACCTTTTACTGTTTTGTTATTCCTCCTAATGTGATACCTCCTTGTCAAAAACAAACAAAAAACAGGTTTCATTCTTTTGCCTCTCTCCTATTCTATCAATATGAGTCCTAACATTTATCCTAAAAACTTTGTCAGTTGTGGGGGCTTGAACTCAGGGCCTGGACGCTGTCACTGACTTTTTTGGGCTCAAAGATAGTGCTCTACCCACTTTGGACCACAGCTCCACTCCTGTTTTTTAGATGGTTAATTGGAGGTAAGAGTCTCATGGCCCTTCCTGCCTGGGGATGGCTTCCAATTGCAGATCTCAGATCTCAGTCCCCTGAGTAGCTAGGATTACAGGTGTATGACACCAATGCCTGACTGAAATCTACTTTATTTTTTAATGTGTACTGCCTCTATTTAACCCAACAGTTAAGAATTATCTGTGTTGGAACCATAAGTCACTACCTAGTCTCCAGATGTGATTTCTGGACAAATAGCAAATTCTCAAGTATATGCATCATGAATTTAGGTTACTATAATCTCTATCTTGTATCACTCCTACAGCCTAGTTTTTTAAAAAATCTTTTATTTTTGTAGTCCTAAGGATTGAGCCCAATCTTGCATATGCTATTTTACTGAGCTACGTACTAGCCCTCTTACCGTCTTCTTAAGATCTCTTGGCCTCCAGTTTGACCTCTCCAATCCGGTTTCCTCTGCAGCCAATCATCTCTCTTAATACAAAAATCTAACCATGTTAAATCCTACCATTAAGGCCTCTAAATCCTTTTTTTTTTTTTTTTGCCGGTTATGGGCCTGAATTCTGGGCCTGGGTGCTGTCCCTCAGCTCTTTAGGCTCAAGGCTAGTGCTCTACCACTTGAGCCACAGCGCCACTTCCAGCTTTTTCTGCTTATGTGGTACTGAGGAAATGAACCCAGGACCTCATGCATGCAAGGCATGTACTCTACTACTGAGCCACCTGTCCAACCCATCCTTCTCTTTTTATTCCTGTCCTCTGTCTACCACATGCAAATTGTACTGAACTAACAGAAAGTCCTAAGCTGCTCTGCCTGCAAGCCTTCTAAACTCTTCTACTACTATATATATATATATATTTCATATATATATATATTTCATATATATATATATATAAAACAAAATACATCCACTTTTCTTTCTGCTGTATACTACTTGCTTTAAAAAGTCTTTCTGATTCCTAAAACCCATGTGATATACCCCAACTATGTCCTTAGCACTCCAACCCTACCTTTCTCTTAGCTTTTGTTAATCTCTATCATTATTGCTTGTCGGTACTTTTCATGAAGATAGTGACTGTGCCTGTTCACAAATATATTATTGTGATTAACAAAGCAATGGACACATAGCAGCCAGTAAGTATACGGAATAAACTTAGGATTGTGCACTACTTATATAATTTTTAATAAAATTTATTTAGAACTTAAAATGCTATACCTAATTAGCCATGCTATCAGTTTATACAACCCTTCAATGTAAAAAGGATCTTATTTTCTATCACATAACATATAGAAGGAATGATCTGAATATAAAAATATAAATACATATTTTATAGAATGTATAGAAACCTTGAGTAAGGTAAAATTGCCAAGTCTTAGAACAAATTTTTAAGACTACATTGAGAAAATTCTCAACACACAGTGAACAGAGATAATAAAAGATTTTTTCTTTATTATTCAAAGGTATAACTGGATAAGTAGATTTGTTACAACCATTCTGTTGAAATACTTTTTAAAAAAATACGACCAACTTCTTCGCAAATTGCAGACACATACCTCAACTATGATGACCTAATTTTTGGTGGATAATGTACATGATTAGGCAGAAATAGGCAAGCTCACACTTGTAGATTAACTGTCAAATGCTCAGTCAAAATTCCGTTTGTGGCCCCCACTTCTTGATCGATTTCTGTTCCCACTTCTTCTTCTACCATCTTGTCGACTTCCTGACCTGCTCCCCTGTCGACTCTGTCTACCAGACCGGCCACCAGATCGGCCACCTGACCGGCCTGATCGGCCTGATCTGCCACTTGACCACCCACTCCTTTGTCTGGAATTAGATGATGTGTTTCCATCATAGTATTCTTCAATTTCAGGTAATTTGGCAGGTACTGAGAGTATCCAGTCTGAATCATGCCAGTCTGCCTGTGAGGGGAATTAACAAGATTAATATAAATGCTAAATAGAAACCATAAGTAAGCAGTGAGTAAAGAGGCCATTTTAGGGGGGGGGGGGCAAAGGGAGTGTGTTGGGGCTTGAATCAGGGATGGACATTGTCCCCAAGTTTTTTTTCTCAAGGCTAGTGCTCTACCGCTTGAGCACAGCTCTACCTTGTTTTTTGGTGGTTAATATGGCGACTGAGAGTCTCATGGACTTTTCTCTGCTCCAGATTGCTTTGAACCACAATCCTTAGCCTCTGAAGTAGCTACGATTACAGGCATAAGCCACTGGTACCTGGCTATTTTATATCCTTTATCTCTTAGCTAAAGAACCCCTGTTTCAGGCTGGGAATGTGGTAGTGTGGCTTTGTGGCTTCATGCCTAGCATGCATGAAGCCCTGGGTTCTATTTCTCAGTACCACATAAACAGAAAAACCAGAAGTGGTGCTGTGGCTCAAGTGGTAGAGTGATAAAGCCTTGAGCAAAAGAAAGCTCAGGGACAGTTCCCAGGCCATGAATTCAAGCCCCAGGATTGGTTCAAAAAACAAAGCAAACAACCAAAAACCCTGTTTCTTAATTAAAATGTCTGCAACAAAAATGAAAACTAAAAAATAAAGCAAAAAAAGTTCATGCAATACAATTTTAGTCTCTGAAGAAGCACTCAGAATCATATCAAGACTCTAAATTCATACTCAGTTTATACATTTTGCTTGCTTGTTTTGTTTTTTTGAGACAAGATCTCACTATGTAGCCTAGACTGGCCACAAACTCACAATCCTCCTGCCTCAGCCTCTTGATTGCTAGAATTACAGGCATGCACTACCATGCCTGTTTCATACATTCTAAAAGAGATCATTCTTTACTTTGTCAGCACAGAGATATGCCACCAATAAGAAGTGAAGTATTTTGAGGAAGTATGTTTAAAGAACCAAAAAATAAAATGAAAATGTAGATCATAACACTTCCTACACCAGGCAAGAACTTAAAAAGAGGTACAAATAATTTGGAACTTGTTAGCAAAATGAGTTCCCTTCTCCACAGCTTAGCATGCTCCCTTCCTAGGCAACACAAGGCCCATGTAGTAAAGGCAGTAAATAACCAACTTCCAAACACCTTTACCTTGGGATGGCACTTCTCTGGGGCAGTTACCACCATATAAGGCAACAAGAGCCCCTTAGAGTGACCTTCAGGTCTGGGCAGTTGCAGGACCCCTTATCTACTATTTGGACAGCAGCCATAAAATCCTAGTATGCCATGATGAAGCCCCTGGCCCCACATCCAAACCAGGGTCTCCACCTCCTAGCCCCTTTTAGCCCCTCCTAAACCTCCTAGGTTATATAGTCACCTCAGACAATAGCTGGGGCTTCTTTGCACTTCTCCCTTGTGAAAAGAAGCTTGCCAGCCTCCTTTCCCGGCAATAAAGTCTAATAATCTTTTTTTTTTTTTGTCGGTCGTGGGGCTTGAACTCTGGGCCTGGGCCTGGGCGCTGTCCCTCAGCTCTTCAGCTCAAGGCGAGCACTCTACCACTTGACCTACAGCGCCACTTCCGGTTTTCTGGTGGTTTACTGGAGATAGTAGTCTCACGGTCTCTCCTGCCCGGGCTGGCTTTGAACCGCGATCCTCAGATCTCAGCCTCCTGAGTAGCTAGGATTACAGGCGTGAGCCACCAGCGCCCGGCTTTCTAATAATCTTTTTTAAGCTTACAGAACTGGTATAAACAATTCAAGATAAATAAATAAGTACTACTGACTGAGCCTATAATCCTACTTACTCAGGACACAGAGATCACTGAGTTGTGCTTTACAGCAACTCCAAGCAAAAATATCCCAACATACCATCTCCACAGATAAACTGACACTGATGGTATGCACCTGAGTTCTAGCTAAATGGCAGGGGGTATCACAATGTGAGGCTAGATTTGGGCAAAAACATGAGACATCTGAAATACAACTTAAAATCAAAAAAGGGATGGACAAATAGCTCAAGCAGAGGCCTTGTGTTCAAACACAACAACAACAACAACAAAAAAAAAAAGAGAAATCTGAAACAAGGCAAAAGGCTTGGGCTGGAAAGTTGGCTCAGTGGTAGAGCGCTTGCCTTGCATGCATGAGGCCCTGGGTTCGATTC